ATAAACCAAAACATCAGCCCCAAAAACCAAGCTCTAGCTCGTAAACACCCCTTACTTACCCCAATATCCCAAAGAATAACAAACTATCTAAATGAACACCAAATTAAAAATCTTAAACAAAACTGCAAACAATCAAATATCTTCACCCCTAAACTTAAAAAACCCAAAATAGACACAACACTAGCTAGCCAAAAAATTAACAAACCGACCCAACCATAGATAAAACCACCACACTAGCATACATACACGAAACTTGGCCAAATTGGTGTCACATTTACACGGACGGATCCTCAGATCCGAACTCCAAACACACAGGTTTCGGAGTCCATACCACACAACCAACTAAAACCACACAATCCTTCCGACTCCCAAACAACCAATCAATATTCACGGCAGAACTGATGGGCATGGCCTCAGCCCTCCATAATCAAGAATCCAAAAACCACAAAAAAATCCTAATACTTACCGACTCCTTAAGTGGACTGCAAGCCCTCCAAAACAAAAATACCAAAAACCGACCTAAATTAATAAATCAAATACTTAAAAGCTCCTACGACCTAACTAAGGCAAGCAAACAAATAACCTTCTTGTGGATACCCGCCCACGTAGGAATATACGGTTATGAAAACGCCGATAAAGCAGCTAAACTATCCCTCAAAATCCCAGAAATAAGCTTAAACTTACCCATCTCAAAAACAGAAATTAAAAGTGTAAACAAGCAAAAAATCACAAAAAATGGCATAACCTATATCTAAACTCAAATAGCCAAATCAAAAAAGTGCTCAGCAAACCACAAACCAAACCAAAAATTCTCCATCCTTCAAAAAAAATCGACAGAGTAATCACTTATCTCCAAACAGGACACACCAACCTAAATAACCAACTAAATAAGATAAAAACACACAACAGGTAACTCCCCTCACTGCAAACAACTAGAAACCCCAGAACACGCACTCATCCACTGCACACACTACCTAACACATCGAACCGCATTACAAACCACCCTCAATCTAAACAAGGCTCACACTCTAGAAGCAATACTAAACCAACATAATAAACTAGAAAACTTCAAGGCCTTAGGCGTATTCATAATTAAAACGGAACTAATAAAAAGCATCTAAAAACACAATAACCTACCAAATCAAAATCACATAAACAAACAAACATCCACCATACCCAGCTCCCTTAGTTCTCCTCCCCGACCCCATCGGCATCTATTCCAAATTTCAAAATTTCCAAATTCTATATAAGCAACCCCTAAAGCCCCCTCTTGGGTTACTCAGACCACTTTCGCCCCTTTCGGAAACACATTAAATGGCCTGGCCGGGCCCGTGTGCGAAATACGCATCAGTCGGAAAGCGCACGTTAAATCTCCAAAGCAAGTAAGTAAGTAAGTAAGTCTTCGCATTCATTCACCTGATGAAGGAGTAAGCATGTACTCCGAAACGCTGTGTTCCTCATAATAAAGAAGTTGACATCCATATATTATCTTCCTTAAGTTAGACTGCTGAAACGGAGGTAGGTGTCGTTTCCGGGGTAGAACTAAAACATTCTTCAACAGTTTGCATCCAAACTTGGTAATGTATTAATCAAGGACTGAAGTTATGTCTTTTCGTAGTTAGGAATTTAAAAGAAATTCCTGTTTCCATGGCAACAGGTTTGTTTTGAGTCTGCTCATAGTAGTGTGTTTGTCCGGACCATCTCTCTAAAACTAATTGGTATTCTTCTTGAAACTGTTCACACTCAAAGACCAGGTTGTCAACGGGTGTCATTTGCTATTCAGGGAATTTTAGAATTTCCATGGCAACACGTTTGAATTTGATTCTGTTCATAGTGATGTGCACCTAAGGTGGAAATACAAAGTTCCGAATACTAATTCTACGGTATTATTTTGATAGATCAATAACTGCTCTTGTATATGGACAGACAGATTATACAGAAATCTCTCATCAAGTTGGACATAAGGTAACAGTCAGATGATTTGTTCCTTTGTAGTTGCGGGGACCGGGGGGATTTGTCTTCTGACATGATAACTCTTGTGTTAATCACTTTTGAGATATACACATTTGCTATGCCAATTTTTCGCGTACTGCTGGGTGTGTGTTGTCTATGATAATGTAATCATAAAATGCTTGCGAAGCTTTACAGGGTTTGAATAAATGGAGTGCTTCTTTACTAATTCACAGGTTGAATATCGTTATTGATTTTTTTACCATTTAACTTAATAATATCCTTCCGACTGAAGGGTATATAGTGTAGCATTTTGTTTTGATGAAATCATCCAAAATGATCTATTTGAAATTATAGTTCAAATGTTAATATACCATTCCCATCCCAAATATTTTTTTAATAAAGCATATGCCCTTGTCAAACCAGTATTTTTGTTATCATAACCTGTTTTGGTTGTGACATGGTTTAACACAGTTGCCTGACTGTTGAGGTTTCCGTCAGAAGGGATAAATATTTCACATAATCACCTCTAAAGGATCTTTAAGGGATCATTTGTTTTATACAAAACCTTTTTTGAAATCGGGTGAATAAATTGCTGTTATCTCGAAGGGGGTCAAGGTAGAATAAAAATATTGTTCCTCGGAGTGGATACTTAAGTTCCACACAATCAAAGTATATTTATGTCTTGCCACAATTTTAATAGTGGAATATTTGTTGATTTTATTTGTCGCCTAAACAAATCAGCTGTTCAATGGGTAATTGCTGTCGCCTAAACAACAATCGCCAGCAGCTGAAGAGATGTTGTAAATCCTGATGGGGGTACCATGTAGGCAGGAGTAATAAATACGTCCACATGATCCCCAGTGGCAATCTTAGCCCCTTTTTATAATGCCTTTTCAAAGTGATGCCTTTTTTATGGCCACATACAAGTTTTAAGTATAAATCTGCGTCCTTGTCGACAGATTTTAAAAAGTGTGGGTTATGTATTTTTAAATACTGCCGATCTATAATTCTATAAACTCACTCACTCACAAATATGTAATTCTATTTGCCAAAGTATGTATTGTTTATCAAGGTTGACTGAAAAATTAACGCCACTCAATGTTGTCGTACAGTAGTCCAGGAAGGAGTTAAGTGCTACAGTGGTATCGATCAGCGTCGGTAACAGCTGACGACGACAGCATTGGAATTGATGCTGGTTATGTTGTCAAACTGAGGCATGACAAAGCCAGACTACAATATACAATGGGTAATACGTTGCTATTACTTTTAACGACTCTCCAGCAAATGTTCACTTGGTATAAATAAACTTGTAAGTAATCGATTTCTTCTAGGTCTCCTATTTTGAGCGATAGAATAGCCCTATATTTTTAGATTATGCATGGAAGAGTATCGTAGCAAGAATTAGGGAATTAGAAAACAGATGCATTACAACGATTGGTAAATTCAACAGATATTGTCAAAGTTTCCGTCCTGTGTGACGTCATGACTGACGCAAACTCACGTACAACTTCGACGTTTTTTTATCGGCATTTCTGACTATTTCTCTTGGTTACAATGTACAACATAAACATATTAATAACAAAATGTTTCTGACTACTTACATGGCACATTTATGTACAATCAACGAGAATCAACGAAAGTCCCCACGAAAATCCCGCATAATGATGTCAGTGGAAACACCATTTTGTGAAGGTGATCACGAGTTGTGATGTCATACGTCAACATATATTGTACATACAGTAAACTATATTTATAACGAACACGCCATGCCGAACTGATGGATATAACGAACACGCCATACCGAACTGATGGATATAACGAGCACGCCATACCGAACTGATGGATATAACGAACACGCCATACCGAACTGATGGATATAACGAACACGCCATACCGAACTGATGGATATAACGAACACGCCATGCCGAACTAATGGATATAACGAACAGTTTTGGGGTCCCGTTCATCTGCTGTATACAGGTTGTATACGTTGTACGAACGAACGGTTATAACGAACTAAAATCTATGGTCTCTTTTAGTTCGTTATAACTGTATATGGTGAAGGTCGGGTGAAAAAAGAGTAATTTCTGATGTTAAATTATTAAAAGTAACACTCGTTGATTAACACTGAGTTGTGTTTTTTATTTATGGGATTGGACGTACTTTGTTTTGCGTAAGTGTGAACAATATATCCACTAGTTGGTCACTGCATTCCAATGCAACGGGTAACCTAAATTGTCGAAAATGTTTTGTGTCACAGTGCAATTGGCATCCCTTAAACTTCAAAATACGAGGGCGGTCGTGTAGCCTAGTGGTTAAAGCGGTCGCTCGTCACGTCATGGGTACAATTTGTGATGCCCATTTCTCGTGTCCCCCGCCGTGATATTGCTGGAATTCTGCTAAAAGCGGCGTAAAACCATACTCACTCACTCAAAATACGAATTTAATTTCACATTACTGGAGTATGAACGCTTTGGACCGAGAACGTTAAAATCGTGTTAACGCCGGAGCCTGCCTCGGCAAAGTGAAATTCATTTCGTAAGTAACCACTGCCTAGACTGTATGAGTGAGTGAGTGTGTATGGTTTTACGCCGCTTTTAGAAATATTACAGCAATATCACGGCGGGGGACACCAGAAATGGGCTTCACACATTGTACCCATGTCGGGAATCGAACCTAGGTCTTCGGCGTGACGAGCGAACGCTTTAACCACTAGGCTACCCGACCGCCCCTAGACTGTATGATGTGATGAACATTAGACTCGTTCATGGTGAAACTCCTCTCACCCAAATCAGCTGGGCCTGCTTCAAAACGAAGCTCATGCAGAGACAGGCGACAGCAGTCCACTGAAATGCACTGTAACACGTCTCCCTCATTCAAGTCAAATACTGGCTGGTATTAACGTGAAGCAAACGACGCACAGGAACATAATTACGGATGACGCCATGTCACATATGGAACGATCACGTGACACATGAAGCTGAATAAGTCGTAGAAAAGTCAATCAATATGTATAAAACTTATTGGTATTGTTGTATGCATACACACCATAGACACGACCAGCAGGTATGTAGTTTAGACTTACGATAATGGTACGGGTTTTCATATCCACGACTAGTTTAATTTAATCTTATTGACATTGCAATTGCATGTAGGAAGTTTTGTGGAATGATATGGAACATTAACGTGGATTTTAAAAGTGGATTTTGTAATATAATTCGTTATAGCCGATAGATCGCTATATCCGTTGGTTATAGCCGATAGATCGCTGTGTCCGTTGGTTCGAAGCACCGTACCCAAGTTCGCCCTTGTATACCGGTCTGTATCCCGGGCTCGTATGTTTCACCAACTCGACCACCCGTACCCCAACACAATATATAAAACACAGCAAGGAGGAAAATAGATACAGATTGTAAATCAAGTCTTGGAAGGCATTTAGAATGATACACATAAGGAAGAGAATTTATGGATGTTAACTTCTTTATTATGAGGAACACAACGTTTCGTAGTATATGCTCTCTGCCTCATAGGATTCATTCATCTGATGAAGGAGTAAGGATATACTCCGAAACGATGTTCCTCATAATAAAGAAGTTATCCATAGATTTTCTTCCTTTGAAAGAAAAATCATTAGACATATTGTCCCGTCGACTATCACAACTACATACAGTGTGTTCCGGTTACAGGAGACGAACAGCAGTAATTTCCGTCCAGACATCATGAGGTTCAACATGAAGACCGCGGTCACTTTGCTGCTGTTGTTTGTCGCCGTGGTGCTGTTCCTGTTGAGGCGCAGTCACACTGCGGTAACTGCCACGCGTCAACAGGTGGAAGTGAAGAGCTGGGCGGAAGAGTATGAACAGGCAAAGACGAAGGACTCCCTTATACTACCCGCTTCCGGCGTCGTTAACGTCATAGAGGAACACCATGAGGGTAGGTGACAAAGATGGACTGGACAGATGATTGTGCACGGGGGTGTCTGTAGGAGACGATGTTGTCGCGATCAGGTGGTGGTGTGAGTGAGTAGTATGGTTTTAGCAATATTCCAGCCCTGTCACGACCAGAAACACAAGAAATAGGCTTCACACATTGTACAGCGGGCCGTCGAACCCGGGTGTTGGGAGAGCACCGGAGGTAGGAGACAAAGATGAAATGGTCAGATGATCATGCAGTAGTGTATATGTAGGGGTCGAGTTTGTCTGATCAGGTGGTGATGGAGGAGACGATGGTGCAGCGATCGGGTGATGTTTGGGGAGAGTATGTTGTAGCGATCATGCAGATGGTGGTGGAGGAGACGATGTTGTAGAGATAAGATGGTGGTGGAGAAGACGATGTTGTAGCAATCAGATGGTGCTGGAGGTGACGATGCTGTAGCGATCCGATGGTGCTGGAGGAGAAAAATGCTGTAGCGATCAGAATGTAGTGAGGTGACGATGCTGTAGCGATCAGATGGTGGTGGAGGAGACGATGTTGCAGCGATAAGATGGTGGTGGAGGAGACAATGTTGTAGCGATCAGATGGTGGTGGAGGAGACGATGTTGTAGCGATCAGATGGTGGAGGAGGAGACGACGTTGCAGCGATAAGATGTTGCCGGAGGAGACAATGTTGTAGCGATAAGATGGTTGTGGAGGAGACGATGTTGTAGCGATAGGATGGTGGTGGAGGAGTCGACGTTGCAGCGATCAGGTGGTGGTGCAGGAGACGATATAGTATTCTGTACACGTGTGTGTTGCTGCACTAATGTCCTAACTGTGGTAGAATAGGTCTTCAGCAACCCATGCTTTCCGTAAAAGGCGACTATGCTTGTCGTAAGAGGCGACTAACGGGATCGGGTGGTCAGGTCATGCACGTCATCGCATCCCAATTGCGTGGATTGATGCTCATGATGTCAATCACCGGATTGTCTGGTCCAAACTTGATAATTTACTGAACGCCATCATATAGCTGGAATAAAGCTGGAGTGCGGCGTTAAACAACATAAAAACGAAACAAACGGTACTTACCTGTGTGTCTGTTGCAGAACTGGTATGTGTATTCAAGCACTGATGCACTCTGTGTGTATGGTGCAGCACTGATATACTCACAATGTGTGTTGTAGCACTGATGCATTGTGAGTACTCTTTGTATGTGTTGTAACTCTCAATTTGATATTCTACATGTGTAGTGATTTACTCTGTGCTATTTGTTGCAGCACTGATGTACTGGTTCTCGGCCGCGTCGAATGGGACCATCAAGAAACAGGGTAACACCTTGGTAATATCCTTTTCGCCATATCATACCCTCATATATGTACATTTGCAGTGACCAGGCGATGGTGAACAATATGTGAAGGCAATTGACGTTGTTACCTGAATATTCATCAGACTTGTGTCAAACCATACGTGAAAACACACTCTCTCATCCCCTCACCCACTCTCTCACTCACCCACATACATTCACTCACACAGATATTTATATATGTGTGTGCATATATATGTGTGTGTATATGTACGTGTCTTGGTAAAATAGATCTTCACCAACCCATTCTTGCTGTAAAATGCGACTATGCTTATCGTAATAGGCGACTAACGGGATCGGGTGGTCAGACTCGCTGACTTGGTTGATGCATGTCATCGTATTGCAATTGCGTTGATCGATGCTCATGATGTCAATCACTGTATTGTCTTGTTGAGACTCAATTATTTACAGTCCGCGTTTGGTTCAAGCCGCTTTGAAATGTTTTTCAGTTGTATCGCGGAATGTGATGTGGGAGGAAAACCGATGTGTTCCTATATGTATCTTACACGTTTACTACTTGTGTTTGTTTGTATGTATGTTGTCTGACGCAGCACTCAGCAATATTCCAGCTATATGGAGGCTTAAAATGTGTGAATCTCACGAGCACGACCACGCTGCTGTCAAACCAAGAATCGTAATCTGGGCAAAACGGGGATTTCACCATAGCACCATGTCAGTAACCGGAATGCACATCTACCACTAGTCTGTTTCTACCAATACAGGGCGGTACACAGACATTTCTGTGAGAATTAAAATACTGAACAAAGCGCTCGACATGAGCAACACAAACGCCTTCATATGTGTTACTTTGTTAATCGACCATGATCATATAGCTGGAATATTGTGCAGCGTTAAACAACAAATAAACAAACAAAACAAACATTTGTGTTGAGATGCATTAGTAGACTGAGTTTTTAAGACCCATTTAGTAAAATTCAGAACTCGCTGGTCGCAAGTACCAGATTCGTCCTATTGATGATCTTCGGTACAAGGCGAGATAATGTCGTACAACGCAAGATAAATGTCGTACAACTCAAGATTAATGTCGTACAACGCAAGATAAATGTTGTACAACGCAAGCTAAATTTCGTACAATGCGATATATCACGCGTCAGCCTCCAGTTTTATGATATGCAGCTCCAGTGGTATTCAGATGGCTTACTTTTTATCATTTATCTTACCCTGATCGACGTTAACATACTCTACTTCCTGTTACCCTGCCTTGCGCATGGCATTAACAGGGTAAAACAATGCTGTCACACATTGTGATACAGATAGAAGCTCATTGTTCATAGTATTATTTACCATCATGTCAATAATTAACTGAATGAAATGCACGGTCCTGAATACTGGGTAATCGTTTTAAGTCCTGTTTTAGTCCTGTTCTAGTCCTGTTCTCTTCTCTTGTGTAGTTGCACATAGATGGCCACAATGAAGCTGCCAGCCCAGTGCACTGGAGGAAGATGCCACTATTTCAGTTTCCAAAACGCCAGGAGGAGTTGAACCAAATGATGGAGAAAAGCAATGCTTTTGTCCACGTAATTAATCAAAATTATTGTTGGTGTGAGTGAGTGGCGTCGAGTAACATGAGTGAGTTGGTGAATAGGTAAGCGTGTGTGAGTTAGTGAGTGAATGTCCGAGTGACCTGAATTCAGTTAAATATATGGTCAAGCTAAATATTAATTTCCTGCAAATGATCAAAAATCTATAAACGGTATGTGCTCATCTGAAAAAATATAATTTTGAGTGAATGACTGAATTTGGTCATTCTTTCATCTTTCATCTATGTCTTAAATGTCAGTAATGTGAAATAGATCAGTGTAAGTTTTAATTAATAACGTTTACTCTTCTGTCTAATAAATCTTCAATATATTGCCAGGTGGCTGCCGTCACGGGGTTGATCAACCGTTTCATATGGGTGTGGCCACCGTATGATTCTGGCGGATATCAGCACGAAAACAGCGAGCCCTACGTGTCTCTGCGACTGAAAGTTGGGGTCATGTTTCAGCCAAGAGATAGACGTGATGTACTAGTACACTGTGCTTGCGCAGAATCCGACCAGCTGAAGATGGAGAAGACGTGTGTCTGGATTGATGCTCATCGAGATGGTTCGGAGGAATATTTTGAAATACCGGAGTCAACATGTGTTGATATGTCTCTTAGTGGCACGGTGGAGTTCGTAAGTACAGGCAAGGCTATAGAGCTGGCTAAGTCAGGCACCTGGATCACGGCGAATGACAGCATCATCCTGGACATTGATGAGGACTACTACGGCAGTGAAGCTGCATCATCTCCTCTGTATGAATCTGGCATGAGCAAGACTCAAATCAAAGAGATATCATCAAGTGTTGGGATGCTATTGTGTGTTGGAAATGCACACGATGAAATGATGGCTGACAAATTCTTCCATGACCTTTTAAAGATCATTCTCAAACACATCAAACCCTGCGATAATAATGCAGCCGAGGGTAACAGCATATGCTCTGACCATCTTGCAATGACGAATGCAGTTATCGGCAATATATACGATATACTGGAAAAAGCTAGGCATGTTATGTGCATGCCAACCCAATCTACACAATATATGCTCAACCGTCTTCTCAACGATCTGCTCTACCTCAATGAGCGTCAGTTGGAGGAACTGACAACCGTAGGCGTGTGTATGAACCAGTCCCCAAGAAGCACATTCTTCAACCTAAATGATGGTGTGGTGTTATGCCAGGGGTACAATGCCCCAAGGACAACGCTCATCCAATACCAGAGCGTGGATAAGGAGGCGATTGACCAGACCACAAACCATCTCCAAACCATCCTTTCCCACTCATTTCCTCCCGGAGTGGTGACTCTCGCCCGCTCTGTGCGAGATGGCTTTACTCCGAGGAAACATGCCCACACTATTGAGTATAAAGTTATCAATGTTTTGAAAACAGTGTTCCCAAACAGTATAGATGACAGTAGCATACACTATGACTCGCAGCTGCTTGGAGGTAAAGACGGGTGGTATTTTCGACACAAGACCATTAAGGCTTAATCATTCATGTTGGAAATAAAACTTGTGTTTTGTTCTTAAAACTAGCTGCCTGTGTCTTTCTGAAATTCAATATTAATACGGATAAAAATATACAAAAACTCATTTTTATCCAAACTGATTGAAATAAAGGAGCAACCATTTGATATTTTGTGTGTCTACATTTAATTTTAAAAATATATTGTCCCAGAATATTTGTGTAAAAAGGTAATTATGCCTCAGACTGTTGTACAATAATTGTCTGCCACAAAAAATTTTTTTTTGTTGCAATGTGTTATTATATTGAAGAAATTCAATATCATAGCTTAAAAAGTATGAGCTGCAACTGAAAAATATCTAATCTCCAGACACAGCGGTTATGGAAATATCTGCATATGATACGTTATCTTTTAGGTTCACTCTCGTCCTGTTGACAATGGCCAACAACTTGGTAATACATTCAGGTCTTGATGACATTGGTCCACAGCTGGGTAATGCATCCTGGTCATGTTGACATTTGTCCACAACTGGGTCATGTTGACAGTGATCCACAAATGTCATGTTGACAATGGTCCTCGGCTGGGTAATACATTCAGGCTATGCTGACAATGGTCCACAAGAGGGTAATTATATTCAGGCTATGTTTACAATGGTCCACAGCCGGGTAATACGCATCCGGTGTCAGGTACACTCAGGTCACGTTGACAATGGTCAACAAAAGGGTAATTGCATTCAGGCTATGCTGACAATGGTCCACAGCCGGGTAGTACGCATCCTGTGTCAGGTACAATCAGGTCATGTTGACAATGGTCAACAAAAGGGTAATACATTCAGGCTATGCTGACAATGGTCCACAGGCGGGTAATACGCATCCTGGTCAGATACAATCAGGTCATGTTGACAATGGTCCACAACAGGGTAATACATTCAGGCTATGCTGACAATGGTCCACAGGCGGGTAATACGAATCCTGGTCAGATACACTCAGGTTACGTTGACAATGGTCCACAACAGGGTAATACATTCAGGCTATGCTGACAATGGTCCACAGGCGGGTAATACGAATCCTGGTCAGATACACTCAGGTCATGTTGACAATGGTCCACAACAGGGTAATACATTCAGGCTATGCTGGCAATGGTCCATAGCTGGGCAATACACATCATATGTCGATTTTTAATTCGAACCCACAATCACTTCTTCCTGGCTTGGCCAGCGAACTGCGTCGCCTTACAATTAAACGGCTGGACTCCCAATACTCCCGAACAAGTGTGTGTTATAATTATGCCCCTCTGTGTTCAGAGTGGATGCTGCTTTTCTTGTACATACTTTCTGATTTTGTTGAGTCTAATTTTTCTGATACTAGTATGTATGCAAAATGTATAGATACAATGACCAAATGACAGACAAATGATCACACAACCTTTTGTCCGCTCATAGTATAAGTCTGATTCGGGCACAGTTTACAAATCTGTATCACAATTTAAATCTCAATTTGCCCAGCACAAGAGAAGAAATCAAGCTTCAGCGATGGTCATACGCACGAAAGACACATAATTGTGAGCACTGTCTTTGCATGTGAGTAGTATAAACAACATGAGATTTCATGATCAGTAGATTTGTGACATTGGTACAAACTGAAAACATAAATTTTGAGGCGTTTGAAGAATGTTTCTCAAGAGTAATTCTGTACTGGTGGCAGTGGTATTAAGGTAGCGAGGCTGGAGCGCCAGGTGGTGACATTGCGAAAGAGACGCTTTATTCTCCGCAATGCTGATGAGACCATCCCTGGTCAATCCATTCCGTAAGTAAGGCCGAATACAAAAGCGGAAATGCTGACAGCAAAATACGGCCAACGCTGGAGTATAAATAGATCTCGATTTGACCCACATAGCGATTGTTTGGGCACATGGGAAAGAGAAGAGTCAGATGCTTAGACAGTGCCAAGGTAGGTTACTTTTACTCCATGTAAACTGTTCCTTGAAATGCAACGCTGGTGCTGGCGACAGCCAAAGTAGAGAGAGAGTAGGGTTGAGTAATTTGGAAGCAGCTGTTGTTAACATACAAGTGAGATGACTCAGGGCATGCACGCACTGAACAGTTTATTAGGCAGCTCATATATCTGGAGGGGTCAGTCACATTCTTGTGATATGGAGCGCCGAATAATGATTAAAGGCGTTGTTTATTTCTACGATCTGGTTATACAGTTGCTTAGTGCTCTGGACAATATCACTTACATTCATAGGAGCTACATTGCCAAACCATTTTTATTAATATGTTTCTTATATGTTTTGTAATACTGAGAAATAGGGAATAAAGTCTGATACGCAGTAATTTGAATTCAAAGTTGCTTGTGGTATAAGTTTCCGTAGGAGGGGAATGCAATTGTAGACTATCGATTGAGGTTTTCTGGAGGCTACATGGGTCTCTGCTAGGTTGAGGCCCCAACCAATCTTCCATGTCAAAGTAGCAGCTTGTCATTTCCATGATAGCAAAGTAGCATCACGCCACCCATGATAGCAAAGTAGCATCACCCCACCCATGATAGCAAAGTAGCATCACCCCACCGATGATAGCAAAGTAGCATCACCCGACCCATGATAGCAAAGTAGCATCACGCCACCAATGATAGCAAAGTAGCATCACCCCACCCATGATAGCAAAGTAGCATCACGCCACCCATGATAGCAAAGTAGCATCACCCCACCCATGATAGCAAAGTAGCATCACCCCACCGATGATAGCAAAGTAGCATCACCCGACCCATGATAGCAAAGTAGCATCACCCCACCCATAATAGCAAAGTAGCATCACCCCACCCATGATAGCAAAGTAGCATCACCCCACCCATGATAGCAAAGTAGCATCACCCCACCCATGATAGCAAAGTAGCATCACCCCACCCTTGATAGCAAAGTAGCATCACCCCACCCATGATAGCAAAGTAGCATGACCCAACACATGATAGCAAAGTAGCATCATCCCACCCATGATAGCAAAGTAGCATTACCCGACCCATGATAGCAAAGTAGCATCATCCCACCCATGATAGCAAAGTAGCAGCACGTCACCAATGTCGAAGTTGCAGTTTATCGAGGTATTTATAGTTCACATTTAGCGGTCTGTGGGATTTGAATCTAGTAGCACGTCATACCTTCCAGACTATAGGATTTCAATGTTGTAACACGTCTCATCATTAAGACGGTAGGACCTCAGTGTTGTGACACCTCAAATAATACAGACTGTGGGGTCGCTATGTTGTAACACGTCACATCATGTGGACGATAGGACCTCAGTGTTGAAACACGTCACATCATGCAGAGTGTAGGATCTCTATGTTGTAACACGTCACATCATGTAGAGTGTAGCATCTCTATGTTGTAACACGTCACATCATGTCGAGTGTAGGATCTCTATGTTGTAACACGTCACATCATGTAGACTGAAGGATCTCTATGTTGTAACACGTCACATCATGTAGAGTGTAGGATCTCTATGTTGTAACACGTCACGTCGTGTAGACTGAAGGATCTCTATGTTGTAACACGTCACATCATGTAGAATGAAGGATCTCCATGTTGTAACACGTCACATCATGCAGACTGAATGACCTCGATGTTATAACAATTCAAATAATGCAGACAGTACGACAACAGTGTTGTTACACGTCACATGCGGACGATAGGATCTCTATGTTGTAACACGTCACATCATGTAGACTGTAGGACCTCAATGTTGGAGTTTGTCACATCATGCAGACTGTAGGATATCAATGTTGTAACACGTCAAATCATGTAGACTGAAGGATCTCCATGTTGTAACACGTCACATCATAAAGACTGAATGACCTCAATGTTGTAACAATTCAAATAATGCAGACTGTACGACAACAATGTTGTTACACGTCACATGCGGACGATAGGATCTCTATGTTGTAACACGTCACATCATGCAGAATGTAGGATCTCTATGTTGTAACACGTCACAACATGCAGACTGTAGGATCTCTATGTTGTAACACGTCACATCATGCAGACTGTAGGATCTCTATGTTGTAACACGTCACATCATGCAGACTGTAGGACCTCAATGTTGTAGTATGTCACATCATTCAGAATGTAGGATCTCATTGTTGTAATACGTCACATCATGCGGAAGATAGGACCTCAGTGTTGAAACAGGTCACATCATGCAGAATGTGTGATCTATATGTTGTAGTATGTCTCATCATGCAGACTGTGGGATCGCTATCCTGTAATGCGTCACATCATGCGGACTGTAGGACCTTAATTTTGAAACACGTCACATCATGCAGACTGTAGGATCTCAACGTAGCAGCTCGATATTCTTTGAGGCCTTGTGGTCACAGAGTTGTAGCACGTCACACCGTATCAAGGTGATAACTCATCACAGTTTGCAGGCTATCAGGTCAATAAGTAGTTAGGGCGTCAATAAGTAGCAGCCCCATGATGTCAGTGCATTGTCACTTCTGAAGAGTGTGTTCCCAATTCCCATTTCACACAAATTCCAACAAAAATATTGTTTTACAGCAGTTTTTCTTACCATTCAGTATCTGACATCTTTCATTTGAGATTCAAGTCTTGTATGACCATTTTCAGACTCTTCAGACACTCCGCTCAAGGCTTTGACGAATACGACAACCGACGTCCGACATGGAGATACGTGTAGCTGATGATGGTGGAGATGAGATGACGCTGCTCAGCTACAATGGCCACAAGTATTCGTTTTGGCCGGAAGCTCTCCAGTCCAACCCATTGGAGAGATTACCATCTGTTGAAATACGCCCTGATGACATTATAATATGTGCTTTCCCTAAGTCAGGTAGGTAAACGAATACACGTTTCTTATCAATACAACAGTCATGATGTCAGTTCAGTTGGTTAGCCTATGTCAGGCTATATTGATGACATGATTGTGACATTATAAAGGAACTCATTTAAGTCATATCAACAAGTGAGTGAGTGAGTGAAACCCACGAGCACGGGTCTGGTACTAACAAACATAGAAACATCATCGGAGCGAACCGGGATTCGAATCCCACAATCATAGGTTTCTGGCGTGCCAAAGGGACGCAACTCTGCACAGGGAATTGCGGCACCTTAGACGACTGGGCCACCCGTGCCCCCTATCAACAATGACGTTATGCATACAGTGACGTTATACCAGATATGCAGTGACGTGCCACAAATTATGCAGTTGAGTTTTACAAGAACAATGTAACTTAGTGTATGAATAACGTGACGTACATATAGAACGTCAACGTCGGAGAGCATCAAGTCTCGAATATCTGCCGAAATAGATTTTATTGTGCTTGTACTAGTCCGGACTGGTGCCGATTTTAGTGCTAGCCCATGCCGCAGTTTAACATGAATACCCTACTCAGACATAGTATACTGACTCCGAGCCGACCAGTCCGTGTTTTAGCCCCTTAATGCCGAGCGCCAGACAGGGCATTAACAAGTACCATATTTTAACGTTTTTTGGTATGACGCGGCCGGGGAGCGGACGTTCTTCCACTAGACCACCGGTGGCGGTCTGTGTATACAAGAAGTCACGTAAACCATGTGAAACAATGTCCTAGCAGATCATTCCATCGTTACATATTTGTTTTATTTCAGCCACAATCAGACAGTGTGTTGAATGGCTTTGACCTAATATAATGCTCGTCATTATTAGTTCCACATTTTAATACATTATATTAAATGACGACCGCCAGTGGCGTCCTCATGAGTAACAGAAGTAGCAAGTATTTCACTGCCTGGAACGAGACATTACTCGTTGCCAAAGCCACTAAATGTTATAAGATTTTACTTAACAGGTACCCACTGGGTTTGGGAGATGGTTCGCCTGCTGATGGCAGGACAACTCGACCGTGATGAAGTCAGCAAAGGGTCTAATATGATGGAATTTGCCAGTGAAGAAGAATACAAAGATCTCCCTTCTCCCAGAATTCTTAACACTCACTTGTTGTTCAGCCAACTTCCAGAGCAGGTTAAAGTGAAGAAACCTAAGATACTGTACTTAACTCGGAACCCCAAGGACATGACTGTGTCTTTTTACAACTTTGTAATGAAACTGCCTATGTACTACAAATACACAGGAGAGTGGAACAATTTCGTCCGACCCTCACTGGAGGGGAAGTGTAAGTGATTTTCTCTCTATTAACACATTGGTGAACACAACTCTTGCATATCACACACAGGTTCCTCCAAGGTACATTGATCACGTATTAGAATCCGAAACACGTACCGATTATGATCCTTGTTTTTTTCAGCACAATGCGCTTGGTCGTGGGTTTTACCAAGTATGCCGACCTCATCACTTAAGGCATTCCTCCGTCATTTCTGAAAATGTGATATAACTAAAAATCTGTCCAAAACGACGGTAGGCCCAACTCTTTTACTCCTCAACTTATTTCTCACCATGATTTGTGACCTCGGTGTACCTTATTTCAGTTGACTACGGTTCCTGGTTCGACTATGTGAAGGACTGGGAGGAGGTGAAAAAAACCACTGACGTCCCCATCCTGACACTCAACTATGAAGACATGAAAGAGGTACAGGTCTTGCTTGTTATTCCAGTGTTTGCAAGGCGCAGGGGCGTATAATACCACGTTCTCAGAAGGGGCGGTGGGATTGATAAAACTCGTTACACTGAGGTCCGGGTTGTAATCAAAATATGCCATGCATGAAACCAAAGAGTTCCCGCTTCTGGAATATCGATAAAAGCGGCATAAAACCCAACTCACTTATGCTCATTGCTCTGATGGATGCAAATCATTATATTAGTATTTCATCACGACATGAGTTGTATGTTATGGGTGCCACTGGTGGCCATGGCACGCTCACCTTTTTGCGAACATCTGGTATCATCATTATTTCATGAAAGCAAGCTCATGATATAATCGGTTTTCTTATGGACAATGGTAGGTTTTTGTCGCTATTCACATTCATTAATTGGTTATTACAGGACGATTATGATTTTGTATTATAAGACTTGAAATCATGACTTTTCAATCTAATATCCGCATGACTTAGTGATCTGGTGTTCACGGAAACCATTTCCATTTACATCATTACATGGGTTCATGTTAATCGTTTTAATGTATTTAGGATATTAGCGTGTTTATCACAGTTTCGTTTGTGCTATGTGTTTTATAGTATTCAAGATATTAATGTTTTTTACTACGACGTGTGTTGTTGTTCGTGGTTTTGTTGTGCTCATGGCATTGGTTAGACTAACATTTAGTCTCTGAAATCTTATATTACACAATATCCTTCTTGACTCTAAAAATAAAAATAAAATTCCCTATGCTGATTTCAGAATAGAGCTAGCTTGAGCTGGCTAGACTTGCTTTTGTATGCATTTCTAGATTATGTTTTTTTCATAAAATAAATATATTCCACGGTCATGGTGCAGGACTAGGCATTGGTGTTTTGATCGTGATGTGTGTACATGTTCATTTATTTGATGTGTTCAGGCACGCGTTCCACAAAGCGATCTTAGCGCTAAGACAGTCAATTCCCATACCCAAACAAATCGTTCAACGATCGTCGTAGCGCCCGAACGCTTTATGTAAGGGGTCCCTGGATATCAGTGTTTTGATTACGAAATGTGTACATGTTCATTTATTTGGTGTGTTCAGGCACGCGTTCCACAAAGCGATCTTAGCGCTAAGACAGTCATAATTCCAATACTTCAACAAAGGATTACGATCGTCGTTGAGCCCGAACACTTTGTGTAACGGGTCCCTGGATATTAGTGTTTTGATTACGAAATGTGTACATGTTCATTTATTTGGTGCGTTCAAGATTTGGTATGTTTTTTTATTGCGGCGTGTATTCTTACTCATTGGTTTGAGTGGTCGAGATATGCACTACGTCGATGTTCTGTTTGTTCAAAGGATGTATTCCGCGAGATGAAGAAAATGCAAGACTTCCTTGGTGTCAATAGAAGTGATGAGTTTGTGAAGGAAGTGTGTGATCACTGCAGCTTCACCTCCATGAAGAAAGTCAAGGCAGACATGGCAAACATCGTGTACAGAAAGGGTGAGTATTTACCTCACACTCCGCTCTGTGGAAGAAATATCCAGCAAATGTGTGTATTAATCACCCGGTACGCTCAATCGCATATAAAATCTAGCAAATATGAGTAATAACTTACATTGCGCTCTATGTACTTGGATATCTGCAAAATGTGAACGTTTGTCTGCTTGTCAAACGGCCAGTGTATGGGATCTGTGAGACTGGCCTGTGTCCTGTCATCAAAAGTTATGTCATCTTCCCAAGGCAAGAGAGTTAACCGACTTTAAAAGTCCGGTTTCCACCCTTGCCGAACAAGGCTGGAATAACTGGGTTTGATCGTAGCGACACCAGTGGCTATTGCCGGTTATGACCCTTCTAAGCCTCTCCTATGGACCCATCAGATTACACCTCTCGTATCACTTGCGTTTGCTTCACACAAAATGGTGGCGCCCAGTCAGGACGATCTGGTCGATAATCAAGTTCTACATTGTGATAAAACGGATCTTACATCGAGAAATGCAGCAAAGACGTGAGCACCGTTATTAAAAACATGAAAAGATTTGGAAAATATCTGCTGACAAAGAGTTGGCGGTGCACATGTTTTGCAAATCCGGCAATCGATCGAACCGGATTTCGATTTCGGTGCGCGATTTTGATTGGACTATGCATAGACTCGTTAGTCCAGCCAAAATGTAACTCCATAATACCAGCCTAGTTCGGCAAGGGTGGAAACTGGACTTTTATAGTCAGTTAACTCTCTTGCCTCGGGAAGATGTAGTTATGTAAATATGAGGTAAGTGTGTACTGCCACCATCAGGTACGATAGTCTATGTTAAGATATCGCACTTTGCCAATGATGAAACGATTCATCATTGAAATATCTGATCATGCAAGAGGCGTGGGTGACTCTATGACGATCTTATTTTCCTTTATGAAATCCGCGCATTTCCTCAAAATTCATACCGCGTCGTGTAGTATCATTCAGCGTGCCGTTTGCTTATTGTTGTATATTCGCTGTCATTCTCCTCGTGCCCACATAAGAAGGTTTGAGATACGAGGTTGTTATCACGTCGTATTTTGTTAAGGAAACCAATACTAAGCTTGTCTGTGTCAACCGCGTCTTTGTGACTAACACCAGAATTATCAGCAATGCTAAGTTTTCAGATCATAAATGTCATACACACATCAATGCAATGTTATACGATTTGATTCATACATTTATTACTGGTTTTGTTTCAGGTGAGGTTGGGGACTGGAAGAACTGGTTCACTGTCGCTCAAAATGAGTGGTTTGATCAAATCTACAAGGAGAAGATGAAAGATTGTCCTTTGGAGTTCAGATATACATCGAAATAATGGTCCCAAGGGGTGGGTAGAGTTAGAGGAAATAGCTAGAGTAGTAAGTAGAAATGGCTAGAGTAAGCAGTGCCGGTGGAATAATTAGTAATGAAGATTGCATGTTCGATCCGCGGAAATATATAGAAAACTTTTGAGATTTGATTTGCATTACATTGTGTTCCAAAGTGACATAACTTTCAAGCGAAAAACATTCATACTTTACAGTATAAATGGATATAAAAGGTTGAACACGAACATCAAAGTTGTATTAATAAAATTCCAGGGATATTATAAAATCCCTGTTTATGAGAATTAACCCCACTGGCGAAGAATTGGATGACGTCACTGGAGATTTATAAAAGCGTTTGCAGTGAGATGGTAGGGCGGGTGGCTTACTGGGAGAGTGGTTTGAGTGCGTGGAGGGGTTGGATAGAGTAAAATGGATGGTATAGGTGTAGAGTCGTAAGAACAGCGGAAGTGAGTGGAGCGAAAACGATAAAATGATGTGGTGCAAGACAATTGGTGGTGTGGATGGAGTGGATGTATGGCAGCAGGCTCTGTTTTTCAGATTGAGAACGGAAAGAATCACAACACAGGTCATGTGAGCATACTGCTCTTCATAGCACGAACTGTGTACCATCCAAGTTTGGGAAACCATAATACCGTTTCATTGGTATTTTCTTTCTGAATATCTGCGTGTTATATGATGACGGACAATTATCGTCACTGTCACCCACAAGAGACAGCCAAAGATAGCGGGTGTCGCCTTTGATTTAAAAAGAGATCTGTTGGATGTTGTTTCAATGTCAATCATTGTCTATGTGCACTGTAAAATGAACTATGGCAATAATAAAAGGAATATAACTTTCTGTCTGCGCATCACATTCAAGCAACAAAGACAAAATATACTTTTATAAATTTGTATACAGATCAGTCAGTGGTGAACTGGTACCTTTTCATGATTTTGGATGTTTGGGTTTTTTAAAAATTAATTTTAGCTATGTTTTCATGACGATAAATTGGATTTTACTGAAAACGGGGATAGTGGTCATTTCCGGAGCAGATGAAACTTGATTAATCGATCACTCTCGGGGTGATTCAATTTTTACTTGTTCAGTAAGTAGTGTTCTTCCAATTTGCCGCCATGACATAGACGACCCTGACTGATGCATGAAGCTTATAAAACTCGAGTGAGGGGAACCAGCTCGCTTAGCAGAGGCACCACTGTACATGACCAACCACACACCAACACAAGACATGAGTTAATCAACAGTCAGTTTATTAGACAGTTACAGAATGATTTGTGACTGTCTGTCGTCCGTATTTATACCTATTCTAACTACTACATATAACCCCATTTACTGATTTCACAATTTCCAATTATTAATATGTGGCATGTAAAGTGATCAAATATTTGTAAAACTGGGTCCATTTTCCCATTGTTACTAGTACACCCCTGTTCTTCTAAAATTGGTCCCGAAATTTCCATAAACAAAATATAATTAAAGATATTTACATTATAACAGATGGGTAAAGTGACATTGCTGGCAGTGTCGCTGCAGGTTTAACAGAGACAACTGGCAATAGTACCCATGATGGTTGATGAGAACATGCACAAAATGACTTCTTTTCAAACAGGGTCCAAACAGCAGGCGGGGCGGTCGGGTAGCCTAGTGGTTAAAGCGTTCTCTCGTCACGCCGAAGGCCCGGGTTCGATTCCCGACATGTGTACAATGTGTGAAACCCATTTCTGGTGTCCCCCGCCGTCATATTGCTCGAATATTGCTAAAACCGGAGTAAAACCATACTCACCCACTCAAACAGCAGGCTGTATAGAGCCGTGGGGGATATGGTGAAGGTAAGGTGACTGGCATATCGACATAATTATAATCAAGACGAACACAACCTACTATGTTTGTTTGTGTGTTGTTTAACGCCGCACTCAGGAATATTCCAGCTATATGACGGCGGTCTGTAAAATAATCGTGTCTGGACCAGACAATCCAGTCATTCAGATCATGAGCATCGATCCACGCAATTGGTATCGATGACATGCATCAACCAAGTCAGCGAGCCCGATCCCGTTAGTCGCCTTTTACGACAAGCATAGTCGCCTTTAATGGCAAGTATTGGTTGCTGAAGACATATTCTACCCCGGAATCTTCACGGGTCCAACCTACTATGAAGAGATTGATGATTTCTCTGGTGCTTCTATGTATGTATGTATGTATGTGTGTGTGTGTGTGTGTGTGTGTGTGTGTGTGTGTGTGTGTGTGTGTGTGTGTGTGTGTGTGTGTGTGTGTGTGTGTGTGTGTGTGCAGGAGAGCAATTATTCGTGTCACCTTTTGAGATACATAATTATATATGAATAAATAAATAAATCTCATTACTATTCAATAAAATTTAGAATATAAAAATAACGTATAATCATCAACATCTGATTGAAACTAAACATTTTTGCAATGCTACTGTCGTCTGATTATTTGGTAGAGATATAACAAAAAATCATAATAAAATGGACACATATAGCCCCCAACTCGTTACATTGCAGGAGAATTCAAATCACGTCACTTGACTTTGCGCTTCGGTGGGTCAGTAAACAATAAACATTTGGGACAATCAAATGTACAATTATGGGGGAAAACACCATGCAATAACGAAACATAGTCCCTAAGAATTTGGGATATGGTACCAAATTGTCAGAGATTGCATGTTAATTCAAGCCTAATGCGGTGCTCCATCGTTAAAAAGATAACATTATTTCATTGATTTAATGAAAACTTCCTGTGGTCTGAAAAGCATAATGTCCCCTTTCGAGTTGAACAGTGTGATTAAAAAAGTAATGTTTTACGACGCTTTAAACAATAGCATGAACGTTTACTAAGTTTGTACTCCACGTTAACTTCTTACGAATCCATGTTTTATCCTTAATGCCGAGCGCCAGGCAGGAAAACAACAATTACGATATTTCAACGTCTTTTGGTATGACGCGGCTGGGGATCGAACCACCGACCTTCCGCTTTAAGGGCAGACGCTATTTCCACAAGACCACGGAGTTACGAATTCGTGTGACACATATGTGATTGTAGACGTTCGTTGTATGCTACTATATATGGTAAGTATTACTATACTTTTAGAGTAGGTTCCCAGCATTCTAGTGTTCGTCGAGAGGGTGTTAATTGGATCGCATCGTCAGGCTTGTAATATAGCTGGAGTATTGCAGCATGCCACCAGCAATAAAGCATAGAAGGTTTGATTCATCCTGTACCCATTTCTCTTTCTCCACGCAAGCAATAGCCTATTCTCAATACAATCCCCTTTCGCATATAATGTATTTTATACAAAATGTTGCAGCTTCTACGTTCTTTTTAAAACAGACTTAAACGTCGGTGAAAACCGTACTTATAGTTAAATCCTGTCAACACAATTTCCCCTTGCGAAAAATATTCCAAAATACAGTAAACTACGGTTGTTACGAACTCAAAGGGACCACTTATTTTAGTTCGTTATAACCGTAGTTCGTTATAAGCATATATACAGCATATATGCAACACATAGACGGGACTACAAAATAAATTCGTTATATCGGTCAGTTCGTTATAAGCATGTTCTTTATAACCGTAGTTTACTGTATCTAAATCTTACGCCGAGCGTGGAAAATGTTTGAGGCTGTCATATGTAGTGTTTTGTCACAGGGAGGCTATTCCTATAACACCGGCACACTTTTGAATTGATTTCATTGACGCAGTAGTTCACGCACAGGAGTCCGTATCTAAAAATAGACGCCCTCATGCATATTCATGACCATCTCCGCACGCGTGCCCGAAGGAGATGGTCATGAATATGCATGAGGGCGTCTATTTTTAGATACGGACTCCTGTGGTTCATGTGACATACTCCTCAATGTTGTTGAGACCATCCCTGCTAAATCCACACCATCAGTCGAGAGGACTACAAACCTGACCGAATTAACGCGGTGAGTCAAACGGGGTCATACCCATCTCGATTTGACCCATATAACGATTAGTTGGGACCGTGACTCGGAGCACATTCCGATGCAACCATAAGGTCAAAGTACGTTACTCTGTTTTAACCACTTGAACTTGCATAGCTGGTGGCGGGGACTGTGTAAAGAGAGTGGGCGAAGTACTTTCGAAGCAGTGGAGCATCGAACGTTGTACAGACAAGTAAGGGTACTCAGTACACGCGCATTATCACAGTTTTGAGCACAGATAATGTAACGAGGCACGAAGGCGTTGTTTATTTCTCTAGTATATTTCTACTACATCGTGATTGGACAATATCGGTATAAGAGCTGAGTTGCCTAACCTTTTACTAATGTTGCTTATTTGATTAGAAATGCTGACGACCCGTGACGACCCGGGGCATATTAGGCCTTCAGCAACCCATGCTTGCTGTAAAAGGCGACTATTCTTGTCGTAAGAGGCGACTAACGTGATCGGGTGGTCGGGCTCGCTGACTTGGTTGATGCAAGTCATCGATCCCAATTGCGTCGATCGATGCTCATGATCTGAATGACTGGATTGTCTGGTCCAGGCTCAATTATTTACAGACCGCCGATATATAGGTGGAATATTGCTGAGTTAAACAACAAAACAATTTCTGTATTCAGAAATGTACCCACCCATGTTTCAAATCATGACGTCGCCTGTGGTATGTTAATTGTTACATGGGAAAAAGGATGCAGTTGTCCATCAGGATCACAGTGTACAAGTATGTCTCACAGTGACGGCTGTAGGATCACAGTGTACAAGTATGTCTCACAGTGACGGCTGTATGATCACAGTGTACAAGTATGTCTCACAGTGACGGCTGTATGATCACAGTGTACAAGTATGTCTCACAGTGACGGCTGTATGATCACAGTGTACAAGTATGTCTCACAGTGACGGCTGTATGACCACTGTGTACAAGTATGTCTCACAGTGACGGCTGTAGGATCACAGTGTACTAGTATGTCTCACAGTGACGGCTGTATGATCACAGTGTACAAGTATGTCTCACAGTGACGGCTGTATGATCACAGTGTACAAGTATGTCTCACAGTGACGGCTGTATGATCACAGTGTACAAGTATGTCTCACAGTGACGGCTGTATGATCACAGTGTACTAGTATGTCTCACAGTGACGGCTGTAGGATCACGGTGTACAAGTATGTCTCACAGTGACGGCTGTAGGATCACAGTGTACAAGTATGTCTCACAGTGACGGCTGTATGATCACAGTGTACAAGTATGTCTCACAGTGACGGCTGTATGATCACAGTGTACAAGTATGTCTCACAGTGACGGCTGTATGATCACGGTGTACAAGTATGTCTCACAGTGACGGCTGTATGATCACAGTGCATCCGCCTTTGCGTGAGAAATGACTTAAATTTGTCCCATGCTCCCCAAACCTAAAACATTGCTCCATCCACAGACATATACAAACAACAAAGTGAATAAAATATTAAAAAATTTTTTTTATTATTTTATAACTGTCATAATGAGCCAGATAATAAAATGTTTTAAAGGCAATGTTTGGGCAGTGTGACTAGAAGTGAGTTTTCTATTGCACTCACAACCTGCGTCTACATGTGAACAAAAACTTTCCCATTTCATCATATTTTTCCATATTTTCTAAAATCCTATAATTACATACCATACAGTATGACGGGCATTATATTACAGTGAACTAGTTTGTAAAACGTAAACGCCGCTTTTAGAACAGACTATACGAATATTACAATCGTTACAACCATTTTTCAACATTACATTACATTACAACATTACAATCATAGCCTCCCTGCTGTGATGCTGCTTCGATTGAAGAGTGACATTATAAACTCTTCTAAATCAACCAACACTACAAGGTGTGTGTTTGACGTAGTTGGGTCTAAACGTATGATGAGGTCACACTATGCGATCTGTAGAATTTAGATATAAAAGTACGTTACACGATGCGGGTTGTAGGATATCCATGTACTAACACGCCAGTTTTGCAGTCAATGTAGACGTACGTCACACCACGGGGACTGTCGATCTCAGTGCAGCGTAATGTGACTCCGTGCGAACTGTAGGATGACACTATAATGGAACGTCTAACAGTGACGGCTGTAGGATCACAGTGTACTCGTATGTCTCACAGTGACGGCTGTATGATCACAGTGTACTAGTATGTCTCACAGTGATGGTTGTAGGATCACAATGTACTAGTATGTCTCACAGTGACGGTTGTATGATCACAGTGTACTAGTATGTCTCACAGTGACGGCTGTATGATCACAGTGTACTAGTATGTCTCACAGTGACGGCTGTATGACCACAGTGTACTAGTATGTCTCACAGTGACGGCTGTAGGATCACAGTGTACTAGTATGTCTCACAGTGACGGCTGTAGGATCACAGTGTACTAGTATGTCTCAGAGTGACGGCTGTAGGATCACAGTGTACTTGTGTGTCTCACATTGACGGCTGTATGATCACAGTGTACAAGTATGTCTCACAGTGACGGCTGTAGGATCACAGTGTACTAGTATGTTTCACAGTGGCGGCTGTAGGATCACAGTGTACTAGTATGTCTCACAGTGACGGTTGTAGGATCACAGTGTACTAAATCGTCACACAATGAGGGCTGTATGACCATAATGTACTGGCACGTCACACAATGGGCCAAGATAGCAATGCAATCAAACGTCAGACCATGTTGGCTGTAAGATCACGGCTATAGGATCACAGTGTACGAGTATGTCTCACAGTGACGGCTGTAGGATCACAGTGTACAAGTATGTCTCACAGTGACGGCTGTATGATCACAGTGAACTAGTACGCCTCCGTGACGGCTGTAGGATCACAGTGTACTAGTATGTCTCACAGTGACGGCTGTAGGATCACAGTGTACAAGTATATCTCACAGTGACGGTTGTAGGATCTAAATGTACTGGTACGTCTCACATTGACGGCTGTAGGATCACAGTGTACTAGTTTGTTTCACAGTGACGGCTGTAGGATCACAGTGTACTAGTTTGTTTCACAGTGACGGCTGTAGGATCACAGTGTACAAGTATGTCTCACAGTGACGGCTGTAGGATCACAGTGTACTAGTATGTTTCACAGTGGCGGCTGTAGGATCACAGTGTACTAGTATGTCTCACAGTGACGGTTGTAGGATCACAGTGTACTAAATCGTCACACAATGAGGGCTGTATGACCATAATGTACTGGCACGTCACACAATGGGCCAAGATAACAATGCAATCAAACGTCAGACCATGTTGGCTGTAAGATCACGGCTATAAGATCACAGTGTACGAGTATGTCTCACAGTGACGGCTGTAGGATCACAGTGTACAAGTATGTCTCACAGTGACGGCTGTAGGATCACAGTGAACTAGTACGTCTCCGTGACGGCTGTAGGATCACAGTGTACTAGTATGTCTCAGACCATGTTGGCTGTAAGATCACGGCTATAGGATCACAGTGTACGAGTATGTCTCACAGTGACGGCTGTAGGATCACAGTGTACAAGTATGTCTCACAGTGACGGCTGTAGGATCACAGTGAACTAGTACGTCTCCGTGACGGCTGTAGGATCACAGTGTACTAGTATGTCTCACAGTGACGGCTGTAGGATCACAGTGTACTAGTATATCTCACAGTGACGGTTGTAGGATCTAAATGTACTGGTACGTCTCACATTGACGGCTGTAGGATCACAGTGTACTAGTTTGTTTCACAGTGACGGCTGTAGGATCACAGTGTACTAGTTTGTTTCACAGTGACGGCTGTAGGATCACAGTGTACTAGTATGTCTCCGTGACGGCTGTAGGATCACAGTGCACTAGTATGTCTCACAGTGACGGCTGTATGATCACAGTGTACAAGTTTGTCTCACATCGACGGCTCTATGATCACAGTGTACAAGTATGTCTCACAGTGACGGCTGTAGGATCACAGTGTACTTGTACGTCTCACAGTGACGGCTGTAGGATCACAGTGTACTAGTATGTCTCACAGTGACGGTTGTAGGATCACAGTGTACTAGTATGTCTCCGTGACGGCTGTAGGATCACAGTGTACTGGTATGTCTCACAGTGACGGCTGTAGATTCAGAGTGCACTAGTATATCTCACAGTGACGGTTGTAGGATCACAATGTACTGGTACGTCTCACAGTGACGGCTGTAGGATCACAGTGTACTAGTTCGTTTCACAGTGACGGCTGTAGGATCACAGTGTACTAGTTTGTTTCACAGTGACGGCTGTAGGATCACAGTGTACTAGTATGTCTCCGTGACGGCTGTAGGATCACAGTGCACTAGTATGTCTCACAGTGACGGCTGTATGATCACAGTGTACAAGTTTGTCTCACATCGACGGCTCTATGATCACAGTGTACAAGTATGTCTCACAGTGACGGCTGTAGGATCACAGTGTACTAGTACGTCTCACAGTGACGGCTGTAGGATCACAGTGTACTAGTATGTCTCACAGTGACGGTTGTAGGATCACAGTGTACTAGTATGTCTCCGTGACGGCTGTAGGATCACAGTGTACTGGTATGTCTCACAGTGACGGCTGTAGATTCACAGTGTACTAGTATATCTCACAGTGACGGTTGTAGGATCACAATGTACTGGTACGTCTCACAGTGACGGCTGTAGGATCACAGTGTACTAGTTTGTTTCACAGTGACGGCTGTAGGATCACAGTGTACTAGTATGTCTCACAGTGACGGCTGTAGGATCACAGTGTACTAGTATGTCTCAGAGTGACGGCTGTAGGATCACAGTGTACTAGTATGTCTCGAGGTGACGGCTGTAGGATCACAGTGTACTTGTGTGTCTCACATTGACGGCTGTATGATCACAGTGTACTAGTATGTCTCACAGTGACGGCTGTAGGATCACAGTGTACTGGTATGTCTCACAGTGACGGCTGTAGGATCACAGTGCAATAGTATGTCTCACATTGACGGCTGTAGGATCACAGTCAAAAGTATGTCTCACAGTGACGGCTGTAGGATCACAGTGCACTAGCAAGTCTCACAGTGACGGCTGCAGGATCACAGTGTACTAATATGTCTCACTGTGACGACTATAGGATCACAGTGTACTAATATGTCTCACAGTGACGGCTGTAGGATCACAGTGTACTAAAGCGTCACAACATGAGGGCTGTAGGATCGCAATGTACTAAACGTCACACCACGGGGGTTGTAGGATCACAATGTACTGGTACGTCTCACAATGACAGCTCTAGGATCACAGTTTTCACAAACGTAATACCACATGGGCTATATGATCACAATCCACTAAAACATGACACCATGTGGGCTTTAATATCGCAATGTACTAAAACATCAAACCATGTGGGATGTAAGATCCAATATACTGGTACGTCACACCATGTGGGATGTAGGACCACTATGTACTAGAACGTCATATCATGTTGTCTTTAGGATCTGAATGACAAAGAACGTCACGCCATATGCGGACTGTTGGATATCAGTGTTCTGTTAATGTCACACATGGAGGGCTACAGGATCTCAGAGTAACAGCACGTCACACCATATCAAGGCAGTTTCACGTCAGACCTTGAGGCCTGTGTGGTCACACAGTAGTAGCGTGGCACATCACATCAAGGTGAAAGCACTTTTCAGTTTGCAGATGAAGTGGTCAATAAGAAGTAGTACCACACACTATAATAGCAAAGCAGCCCCTTGACGTCAGTGCATTGTCAAAATTTAAGTCTTTCCGGAAACGTTGTTTGTTCGAAAATACCCATTCTTAGCAAAATGTCACTATTCACTGTATGACATGTTTCTTTTCAGATTCAAATCGCGCGTGACCATTTAGACGCTTCAGACACTCTGCTCACCAGGTGAACGAACAAGACGACCTTCCGTCACCATGGCGACGCGTGTAGCCGATGATGGTGGGGATGAGATGACTCTGCAAAGCCACAATGGCCGGAAATATCCTTACTTTCCCTCCGCTGTTCAGCACAGTCCATTAGAGAGATTACCATTTGTTGAAATCCGCTCTGACGACATTCTAGTGTGTGCTTTCCCCAAGTCTGGTATGTAAAATTATATGAGTTTTCTTTATCAATGAAACAGTACTGCCTCTTTATTTGTTTGTTGTTTAATACCATAATCTGCTATATGGCGGCGGTCTGTAAATAATAGAGTCTGGACCAGTAATTGACATCATGAGCATCGATCCACGCAATTAAGATTACGATGTACGATGACATGCATCAACCAAGTCAGCGAGCCTGGCCACCCGATCCTTCGTGGCCGAACTATCTTCGGACATGATGTATTGTCCTTGCAGTGACGTAGTAAAGTATGAAGTGACATTATACAAGTACAACATAACGTAGTGTATGCATGAGGTGAGGTCAAACGTCGCGTCAAAGATAATTGCACTTATATAGCGTGTGTGTGTGTGTGTGTGTGTGTGTGGCTGCTTGTACTAGTCCGGACTGATGCCAATTTATAGTGCTAGCCCACTCAGATACCATGCCGCAGTTTAACATGAATACCCCACTCAGACACAGTATACTGACTCCGAGCCGACCAGTCCTTGTTTTAGCCCCTTAATTCCAAGCGCCAGACAGGATAACAACAAGTACCATCTTTAACGGTTTTTGGTATGGGGGAGCGGACGTTCTACCGCCAGACCACGGAGGCGGGTCTGTGTATACAAGAAGTCACGTAAACCATGTGAACAATGGCCAAACAGATTATTCCATCGTTACATACTTTTTGATTTAAGCCAAAATCAGACAGTGTGTTGCATGGCTTTGACCTAATGTAATGGTCGTCATTATTAGTTCCACATTTTATGACATTATATTAAATGACGACCGCCAGTGGCGTCCTCATGAGTAACAGAAGTAGCAAGTAGTTCACAGTCTGGAACGAGACATTACTCTGTCAAAGCCAGTAAACTTAATAAGATTTTACTTAACAGGTACCCACTGGGTTTGGGAGATGGTTCGCCTGCTGGTGGCGGGACAACTCGACCGTGCTGAAGTCAGCAAAGCGTCTGCCATGATGGAATTGGTCAGTGAAGAAGAATACAAAGATCTCCCTTCTCCCAGGATTCTTAACACTCACGTCATGTTCAACGAACTTCCGGAGCAGGTTAAGTTGAAGAAACCTAGGATAGTGTACGTGACTCGGAACCCCAAGGACGTGACTGTGTCTGATTACAACTTTGTGAAGAAACTGACGATGTGCTACAACTACACTGGAGAGTGGAAGAATTTCTTTCGACCCTCATTGGAGGGGAAGTGTGAGTGATTTCTATCATTCCTAGTTGAAACAAAAGTGCACACTGCTTAGGCATATATGTACTATAGGCGATAGTCAGTATTTTCCTCTTACAAATCACAGTTCTATCCTCGATTGGTTGTGTCAGGGTACTTTTATCACAGGCTCGAATCCCAAATCCCTCGAGGTTGATCATTGATCTATCAGCAAAATTCACTTGGGCGTGGTTTCTACCAAGGCGTCCGATGTCTTCGAACTTCAAACTGTTCAAAGCGTCGTTAACCCAAATTTCTGACTCTTTAACCTAATCCTGACCAGCGTTATGTGACGTCATGAATGTGTACCTTATTTTAGTTGACTACGGTTCCTGGTTCGACTATGTGAAGGACTGGGAGGAGGTGAAGAAAACCACTGATGTCCCCATTCTGACACTGAACTATGAAGACATGAAAGAGGTAAGCGTGGCCATTGCAATAAATTCCAGATAGGGCCCTTTAATGAATTTAGGGTCATTTCTTAAAGGGATCTGGCAGGCCTTGTCGTTGTTTATCATCACACGTTAGGATAAACAACGACAAGGCTTGCCAGATCCCAGGGGTTTTACGAAGGAAGCGTCGTGTCTTCGTCCAGGTGAGGTGAGTTGAAATGGGGTAATGTAAATGGCGTTCGAGATTATTCGACTTATAAAGCGACGTGCCACGCCAGGCAGGGTAACAACAAGTAACATATTTTAAGCGTCGTTTGGTATGACGCGGCAGGGGATAGAAGCCCCGACCTACCGTTCTCCGGGTGGAAGCTCAACCACTTGACCACAGAGGCGGTCTGTTCGTCTTGGATAGTGTTCATGATCTTTGTCTTGGTGTGTATAGGGTAAAGCGCGTTCATCACGATGTGTAGCCTTCTTTTATTTTATAAGTAGGGTATTTACGAGACATTCGAGAGTTCATCGCGATTTGCTTCCTTGTGTTTGTTTCTTGATACGGTTTTTACGAGACGTTCGTGTGGTCGTGTTCATTATTGTGATGTTTGCGATTTGCAAACTATTTGCAAAGGCAAGGGCGTGAAGCAGTAAAATAAGCAGTCTTTAACCCTGTGTAAATGGACATACTTAACCACTGCATATTCCTAAAGTTTTCCATTTTCCAAAGGTCATAGACCGCTGCTAATTATCCCAATTTGATCAACCGACTCAAGTGTCTGTGCAGATACCTCTAAGAAATTCATGGAAGGTCTACAACAAAATATTTCACGTCTTTGAAAGGCATTTAGAAGTGTTTGTTTGTTTGTTGCTTAACGCCGCACTGAGCAATATTCCAGCTATATGACGGCGGTCTGAAAAATAATCGAGTCTGGACCAGAAAATCCAGATTTGCAAACTATTTGCAAAGGCAAGGGCGTGAAGCAGTAAAATAAGCAGTCTTTAACCCTGTGTAAATGGACATACTTAACCACTGCACATTCCTAAAGTTTTCCATTTTCCAAAGGTCATAGACCGCTGCTAATTATCCCAATTTGATCAACCGACTCAAGTGTCTGTGCAGATACCTCTAAGAAATTCATGGAAGGTCTACAACAAAATATTTCACGTCTTTGAAAGGCATTTAGAAGTGTTTGTTTGTTTGTTGCTTAACGCCGCACTAAGCAATATTCCAGCTATATGACGGCGGTCTGAAAAATAATCGAGTCTGGACCAGAAAATCCAGTGATTAATGCCATGATCATCGATCCACGCAATCGGGATAGATGACATGCATCAACCAAGTCAGCGAGCCTGACCACCCGATCCCCTTTGTCGGCTTTTACGACAAGCATAGTCGCCTTTTACGGCAAGCATGGGTTGCTGAAGACACATTCTAACCCGGAATCTTCACGATTCACATAAGGAAGATAATATATGGATGTCAACTTCCTTATTATGAGGAACACAACGTTTCGGAGAATATGCTTACTCCTTCATCAGGTGAAAATATTTCACTATTACAGAATTCGTTCTATGCGAATAAAGGGTTCAGTCATCACGAGCTGAGTTTGACAATCCGGCAATGCTTGGATGTGTGAATTAAATTGAACATTGTCAAAAGCAGCCAGTAAAAAACCCTTCTCACTCATTATTAGTGAATGAGCTAACAGGTAAAATGTATGTTCGATTACGTAGAGAAGTGAGTTCAACTTGGTAAAGGCCCTAGATGTTGACCTCGTTGTTGAAACCCACGAGCACGGGTATCATACTCCTAATTTAGGATTGAAATCAGGGAGATCCGACAAATCCGACACACCCAGTGACTAACGCATCGTGCCAAGCACCTAACGATTTCCCAGAACGATTCCTGACCATGTAGCACTGTAACGACAATGAGGGGTCGCAATGAAAACAACCCACACATCCAAAATTATAATCCTGTCTTTTCATGTTGGAATCGTTTAAATTGCGGCAGTTACTGTGGACATCGTTGATGTTGATGTCATAAATATTAACAGGAAGCATTCCGCGAACATGGTCAATACAGAGCTATAGTGTTGATGCATTAATTTAACTTTTAAGGACATTTCATGTTTTCATCACGACGTATATTTGTGTTCTTTTTATTGCGTGGATAGAAAATGGGTGTTGATGATTTTCTATATGTTCAAAGGATACATTCCGCGAGGTGAAGAAAATTCAAGACTTCCTTGGAATTGAGAGAAGTGATGAGTTTGTGAAGGAAGTATGTGATCACTGCAGTTTCAGCTCCATGAAGAAAGTCAAGGCAAACATGGCAGGGGTCGTGTACAGGAAAGGTGAATATGTATTGCCAATGATTAAAAACTCGGTCATGTCATCAAGGTAGGGAGAGGCTTACATCGTATTTATAAGGTGGAATCACTACAGTGTACCGCTACCAAGGTATGATGGTCCTTGGTAAGTTATTGTAAAGTCTACGTCGACTTATTGGCTATTCAAAGTCCCTCATAAGCAATCAGGATAATCCTCAATTATTAAATGTTGCTTTAATTGGACAAAAAATATTTGGTAAGAGTGGTGTCCAATACTTCGCCAATGATGAATCGACAACCAATGGCATGGTTTGAGTATAGAGTTATGCAGGTAGACCGAGCGACATTCTTTGTATCTTGTTTCTCTTTATAAAATTCGCGCAGTGTCCATGACATGATCTTACCAATAATCTCTAATCAGCACATTTGACACATATTGTGTTTGATCACTAATGTTGGACATTCCTATTCCCGTAACAAGCATCTTCAGCTCATGCGAATGTGGTAGAGATTAACAAGGATCTGGAACTATTATTCTGTGTGCCACTTATTTTGATGTTCGCTGCCATTATCCTTGAGTTAACATAGTAACGATTTGGGATTGTTAAACTCTTTCCTGTGTCGAGCGCAGCGTTTGTGACTTACATAAGTATTACCATTAACTTGAAGTTTTTTTTGTACCGTTTGTTCATAAGTATACAATCTTCAATATAATTCATACACAAGTATTATAATTAATTTCCGGTTCTGTTATCCTTCAGGTGAAATCGGGGACTGGAAGAATTGGTTCACTGTCGCTCAGAATGAGTGGTTTGATCAAATGTACGAGGAGAAAATGAAAGATTGTCCTTTAACTTTTAGATATACATTGAAATAACTGTTGTTGACAGAAGGGGCGAATTTCAGTGCGTGTTTGAGAGAATTGGTAGAGTTTTAGAGTTGATAGGAGTGTGAGTTTATGCTTTACGTCACATCGGCAATATGTCAGCCATATCTGACGATAGAGTTGATAGGATTGGCTGGAGTTGATAGTAAATGAAAGCGGGGAGTGCGATGTGGAGTAATTGGAAGCGCCGAGAACGGGTGATGAGGAAGAAGTGAGTTCATTGGCAAGATGCTGTGGAGTGGCTGGACTGACTAGAACGCCTAGCGTCAGCGAGCAACGGGAATGTGTTTGTAGAGACGTAGATTGAGGGCGTGTCACCACCGATTTTCAGTAATTCATTCATATAATTTTCACCGGATGTTTGCCTTATTCTCTAGCATTGACGTATCAATCCATATGCCTCTTGTTTGATAGTGTGATATATTTACATATTCTGTTATTATATTGCAACTGAAATATTAGGTCTACACATTCAGATAACAATATGATCCTCGCATTACGGTCAGGCAGTCGTCCATGTGTACTTAGCGTACTGTTTTCGGGACAAAATGATAGCGTGACTGAATTCTGTATGAAAGCAGACACTATGTCCTGAGGGTGTTTGTGTGCACGGAACAAGGCGCCAGCTTGTGTCAATAGGCATGTGCGAACATAGCGTGAATGGGTAGCAAAGTTCGACTTTTGTATCTTTATATCAATGATGAGCTGTATACCTGAAAGTCAATAAAAGAATTTCCATTTGAACCTTGGTGACTCATCATTCTGATGCAACTGCCACGACAACAAAGTATATTTAAGAGGCTGATCGTTCAGTGGTGAGTATATGTTGTGTTACGGTGCGTAGTGTAACGTATGTAGTCTCTCTTGACCAACTTGTGTCTTATAGCCGTAAGGTAAGGTAAGGTAAGGTAAGGTAAGGTAAGGTAAGGTAAGGTAAGGTAAGGTAAGGTAAGGTAAGGTAAGGTAAGGTAAGGTAAGGTAAGGTAAGGTAAGGTAAGGTAAGGTAAGGTAAGGTAAGGTAAGGTAAGGTAAGGTAAGGTAAGGTAAGGTAAGGTAAGGTAAGGTAAGGTAAGGTAAGGTAAGGTAAGGTAAGGTAAGGTAAGGTAAGGGTAGGTTAGGTTAGGTTAGGTTAGGTTAGGTTAGGTTAGGTTAGGTTAGGTTAGGTTAGGTTAGGTTAGGTTAGGTTAGGTTAGGTTAGGTTAGGTTAGGTTAGGTTAGGTTAGGTTAGGTTAGGTTAGGTTAGGTTAGGTTAGGTTAGGTTAGGTTAGGTTAGGTTAGGTTAGGTTAGGTTAGGTTAGGTTAGGGTAGGGTAGGGTAGGGTAGGGTAGGTTAGGTTAGGTTAGGTTAGGTTAGGTTAGGTTAGGTTAGGTTAGGGTAGGGTAGGGTAGGGTAGGGTAGGGTAGGGTAGGGTAGGGTAGGGTAGGGTAGGGTAGGGTAGGGTAGGGTAGGGTAGGGTAGGGTAGGGTAGGGTAGGGTAGGGTAAGGTAAGGTAAGAGGCCGCCATCTCTTAATTGGACTATTGCTGTGTGAGGCGCAAACAACAAACATACAACTTTAAAACCTAAAAAGCTGTGTAAAGAAAGTCAGTCTGGTTATTTACGTATCCTAGACACCTGACCTAGATTAGATGGATGACCGTAAAGTGGAGAATTTATATTGTGTTGTCGCATCACCGCTTGTCCCCACCAGCGCCTGACAGCCGTAAGGAAACTACACGCGGCCCAGTGAGGAGGCCGCTCCATCCACACGTGCAAGTATTCCGATTGAGTCACTGTGTTTGTCAATGTGAATGTCAGGGTAATACTATCTTGTTCACGGTTTTGATAAGGCACATCACGTAACGGCGCGCAGCTGTGTGATATAAACAAATATCGTACCCTATGAATAGGCTAGATAGAGCAGGACCTGACTGTTCGAAAGGATTTTGGTTAAGAGTAATCTCAACAACTCACCTTTATAGAAAGGTATGGTGCCGTTAGTTTACAACAACAACAACAATAATAATAATAATAATAAATGTCACGCTTGCATCCCAAGTACCAAGTTTTCCGACTCCCCATTGTTCTTGATGCCTTAGGTTTGGTACCTTCCAATCTGTTGACTGATATTGGGAGAGTACCCAGGTTTGCTACCAGGAATACTCCTGATACGCCACGGAGGCGGTCCTGTGTCAAGGTGATGTTAGACGTCAAGTTTATTCAAAGTTTGAAATAGTACAATTGTCATTGCCTTTGGTGGTATGCTGGTAACACCACGAGATTGCAAACTGAATATTAGAGTTAGGTTTATGGTCAAAGTTTATACATGTATACATGACATCACCTTAATAACTGCTAAGGTAAAATGAGGTAGGGGTAGTGTAAAATAATGTGTTACACGTTACAATATTACGTGTTATAATGTGCTATCGCAAACCATTGGACCGTAAAGTATATATGACAGTCCTAGTAAAGCAACTCGGAGCACGTTGTATTTGATGTGTTTGTTTGTTGTTTAACGCTGCACTAGGAAATAAATAAAGTCAGCGAGCCTGACCGACCACCTGATCCACATTGTTCACCTCGTATGACCAGCATTTTTGTTTGTTGTTTAACGCTGCACTCAGCAATATGCCAGCTATGTCAAGGCGACCTGCAAGTAATACAATCTAGACTATATTCAGTCAGCTATATCGAGAGCAAAGAGTCACCTCGTCAGGGTACAATATACGCACTTTTCCAAGTCGCTGAGCCTGACCTTCTGATTAATTTTGTCGCCTCTTACGACATGCACACGTGCATGTTTTGTTTTTGTTTTTCGTCGCCGCACGCAGCAATATTCCAGCTATATATTCCGTCTGTAAGTAAACGAGTCTGGACCAGACAATCCAGTGTCTGAGGTCATGAGCATCGATCTACGCAAATGGGGTGAGGTGAGGTGAGGTGAGGTGAGGTGAAATGGGGTTTAACGTCGCGTCAAAGATTATTGCACTTATATAGCGACGTGCATATGTGTGTGTGTGTGTGTGTGTGTGTGTGTGTGTGTGTGTGGCTGCTTATACTACTTCGGACTGATGCCAATTTATAGTGCTAGCTCACTGAGATACCATGCCGCAGTTTAACATGAATACCCAACTCAGTCACCGTGTACTGACTCCGAGCCGACCAGTCCTTGTTTTAGCCCCTTAATGCCAAGCGCCAGACAGGGTAAATACAAGTACCATCTTTTAACGTATGTTGGTATCGAACGCTCTACCACTAGACCACAGAGGCGGTTTACGCAATTGGGATACGTGACGTGCATCAACCAAGTCAGCGAGTCTGACAACCCGATACCGTTAGTCGCCTCTTACGAACGGCAGAGTCGCCTTTTACGGCAATCAGGGGTTGCTGAACACCTATTTTAACCCGGATCTTCACGGGTCACACATATATGTTGTTGTGGAGCTTTTGTAACCCGGAAACCGCATGGGTTACTTGAAGTTTGCATCATATCGCAGCGTTCAGGTGTTGTCATTTGACCGGAAAAGCATATAACGTGCATGGTTAAGTGAGACAATGAATAAAAAATAATTTTGGGAGAGGTTTTAAGCGAAAGGAGTTGAATGTTTGAAGCAGTGACAAAACAAATGGTCCATTTCTAGCATAAATCCTAGGTATCTTGATTAGATAATTATATGTATTTCCGGCATAATTATATCGTATCCGGTTTGGGAAAATCTATAACAAAGAATATAACTTTAATCAATCCCCTCGTTATACTTCATTTTCAGACGCTCTGTTCATAGGATTGACGAATTCGACGACCTGCAGTCGCCATGGAGTTGATACATGTAGCCGATGATGGTGGAGATGAGATGACGCTGGTAAACTACAATGGCCGCAAATACCCACAGTTTCCCGGATCTATGCAGACCAAACCAATAGAGAAATTAGCATCTGTTGAAATCCGCTCTGACGATATTCTGGTGTGTACGTTCCCCAAGTCAGGTAGGTAAACTGTTCTTATCAATACAGTAATATAATTATGACAACATCTTCGAGGTCAGAAATCACAGCCTTGTTACAATCGCTTGTCTACATCACGATGTCCGAAGATGGAGAGAATATCAACCTGGTGGAGAATGTCGGGTGTTTTGTCATACAAAAATGTTAACATAAATGGGTTTCCCGAAGAATCGTAGGAAGAAAGAAGTTGTGATATTGTTATGTAATAATTGTCAAATTTACCCAAACAAAGGCGAGCAGTGACGTAATTCAGATATTACACAGTTCATAGCTTGTCGTTAACCACAACTGTAATTTCAACCAAAGTGAAGAAGTGTAGTCTATGACTTTGGTTTGTTTGCAGGGTACATATCATTATATTACATTACTTTCCCATTGTGGCCCTACCATTATTAGCAGCAGTAAAACTACGAAAAACATCGAAACGATTTTGCCCAAACCACGAACCTCAATATGGTATTACTATCCAGGTACCCACTGGGTCTGCGAGATGGTTCGCCTGCTGGTGGCAGGAAAACTCGACCCTGAAGTCGGCAAAGGGTTTCACTTGATTGAAGGTTGCAGTGAAGATGACTATAAAAATCTCCCTTCTCCAAGAATCCTCAACACTCATGTGTTGTACAACGACCTTCCAGTGCAGGTTAAAGTGATGAAACCTAGGATAGTGTACGTGACTAGGAACCCCAAGGACGTGACTGTTTCCTATTACAACTTTGTGAAGAAACTGACGATGTGCTACAACTACACTGGAGAGTGGAAGAATTTCTTTCGACCCTCACTGGAGGGGAAGTGTGAGTGATTTTCTATCATTCTTAGATTAAACAGTGCACACAACTCATGCAAACATGTACTGTAGATGATGGTCAGGATCTCCCTCTGACAAATCAACATATCAATCATGGTTCTTTACTTGAATGGATGATCAGTATGGTCCTTGGTTTATCAGCACCTTCTCGCTTGAGTTGAGGGCTTTCGTCCGACATTTCTGAAATGGCATGATGTGAATTATAATCTTCTAAGGTGGTGTTATACGTACACAACTCTGTAACTCTTCAACGTATTCCTGACCATGAATTTGTGACCTTTGTGTCCGATATTGTAGTTGACAACGGTTCCTGGTTCGATTATGTGAAGGACTGGGAGGAGGTGAAGAAAACCACTGATGTCCCCATACTGACGATTAACTATGAAGACATGAAAGAGGTAAGCGAGGCCATTGCAATGATTACCAAAATGTTTTCCCGAAATAGCGGCCTGTGAAATTTTGAACTTGAAATGTTAGATAATTGTCAGTGATTTATTTGTCGTATCTTAGTTTATTCCTAAATATATACGTCCCCGTACTGAAAGAAATCCTGGTGTTGCTGGGGCCTAAATTATTCAAACACACATGGCAGCCTTTGTTCCATTATGACTATAATTATGATTTAATTGAAATTAGTGTCAAATATTGGCCACTCCAGCTGAAGATGTTGCTTCTTATACTGTCAAGGAATAAGGCCTTTCTTCGTAATCCTCTGGTCGTACTGGGCATTAAGTCACTGTCATACCTTTTCGAAACAATAGTTTCGTGAGTTTTGTACAACATTAATCTTGTATTTCTCAGAGGATGACCTTAGCTGATTGACTTTCTCACTTACTCTTGTAGTTACACCGAAGCAGTTTTTACATACAATGTTTACATTGCAACCTCTCAGTATAGAAACATTCAGGACAGCTTAAAGTGTGAGACAGGTGCTGGTCTTTTGACTCCCATTGACAATTTTTCTTTTGTAGAGATGTTTTTCTGTATCCTTTCCACAAATTCTACAAATAGGTGCTTTTGAATTTGGAGACAAATCCAATTTCCAATCAAAAATATTTTTCAGACAATTTTGGCAATTTGGCCATCCAGCTTTCAAAAAACATTGTAAAAACCAAGTTTCAAAATGCGTCTGAAGAAATAGTATTAGGGAATGGAAGGGTTGTGGACCAGGCCACTAGATGGCATCAGTAATCTGGTTAGACTCCTTGGAGAGAGAACAGAGCTTGGGAAAGGACCAATAAGCTTTTGGTTTCCATAAAAAAAATCATATATGTTCAGAGACTAAGCGTCAGTTTAGATATCAGTCTCTTTGTCATGACGTGTGTTCATGCTTATAGTGTCGGTCTGTTCGGGATATGAGTGACGTTTAAGTTTTATCTGTTCAAAGAATCTGTTCCGCGAGATGAAAAAAATACAAGCCTTCCTTGGAATTAAGAGGAGTGATGAGTTTGTGAAGGAAGTATGTGATCAATGCAGCTTCGCCTCCATGAAGAAGAGCAAGGCAGCAATGTCCGCGGTCACGTATAGAAAGGGTGGGTATTTCTCTCCTAGAACGCTCCGTGGAATGGAACATCTAGAAACTGTAATTATTGTCTGCCCAGTATGCCCTGTGGAATGATTATCGAGAAAAGGTGAAAAAAATATTCCTGTACGCCCTGTGGAGCGTGATAACTGTAAAATGTGGGATAGTGTTGTTTCATGTCAGCTATAGTCATGTAGATGTAAGGCAGGTCTATTAATCAAGGTACGGTTACTTTACATCGTAGTAAGTTATGGAAACACTGCACAATACTGCTGCATAAGACAGCACAGGGCGTCCTTTGCAAAAATCACCTCGACTTCTTGACCTTTCATTGAGATGTCTAATCATAATAGGTGGAGTAGATGACTTTATGGCGATCCTTTTTACGCCCACATTATTTACGTACAGTAAACTACGGTTATACCGTTAACGAACTCAAAGGACCACATATTTTAGTTCGTAATAACCGTAGTTCGCTATAAGCATATATACAGCATATATACAACAAATGGCCGGGACTAAAAAATAAGTTCGTTATATCGGTAAGTTCGTTATAAGCATGTTCTTTATAAACGTAGTTTACAGTATGTTGACATAAGCTGTAACCCACATATTTTACCAATCATCATATAGTGATATTGGACATCCCTACTCTGTAACAATTTTAGATAGTTATGTAATGGAAAAAATGATACTCTTGCCTGGGTCGAACACTTTTTCTCTGACTTACATCAGAATTACCAGTGTCATAAATGCAATATTCTAACATGTTATTCATACATTAATTTCTGATATTTCAGGTGAAATTGGGGACTGGAAGAATTGGTTCACTATCGCGCAGAATGAGTGGTTTGATCAAATCTACAAGGAGAAGATGAAAGATTGTCCTTTGGAGTTCAGATATACATTGAAATAATGGTGTTGTGGAGTGGGGAGAATTGGTATGGCAAGAAAGGATACAGTAGGCAGAGTAACGAACATCAGCGTTAACGGTGGATGGAACATAGTGGCTACAGTAATTGGAGCGGGTAGAGAAGACTGCGGGAGTGGGTAGAGAGGGTGGAGTGAAGGGGTGTGAGGTGGCAGAGCGGGTAGAGAAGACTGCGGGAGTGGGTAGAGAGGGTGGATTGAAGGGGTGTGAGGTGGCAGAGCTGGTAGAGAAGACTGCGGGAGTGGGTAGAAAGGGTGGAGTGAAGGGGTGTGAGGTGGCAGAGCGGGTAGAGAAGACTGCGGGAGTGGGTAGAGAGGGTGGAGTGAATGGGTGTGAGGTGGCAGAGTGGGTAGAGAAGACTGCGGGAGTGGGTAGAGAGGGTGGAGTGAAGGGGTGTGAGGTGGCAGAGCGGGTAGAGAAGACTGCGGGAGTGGGTAGAAAGGGTGGAGTGAAGGGGTGTGAGGTGGCAGAGCGGGTAGAGAAGACTGCGGGAGTGGGTAGAGAGGGTGGAGTGAATGGGTGTGAGGTGGCAGAGTGGGTAGAGAAGACTGCGGGAGTGGGTAGAGAGGGTGGAGTGAAGGGGTGTGAGGTGGCAGAGCGGGTAGAGAAGACTGCGGGAGTGGGTAGAGAGGGTGGAGTGAAGGGGTGTGAGGTGGCAGAGCGGGTAGAGAAGACTGCGGGAGTGGGTAGAGAGGGTGGAGTGAAGGGGTGTGAGGTGGCAGAGTGGGTAGAGAAGACTGCGGGAGTGGGTAGAGAGGGTGGAGTGATGGGGTGTGAGGTGGCAGAGCGGGTAGAGAAGACTGCGGGAGTGGGTAGAGAGGGTGGAGTGAAGGGGTGTGAGGTGGCAGAGTGGGTAGAGAAGACTGTGGGAGTGGGTAGAGAGGGTGGAGTGAAGGGGTGTGAGGTGGCAGAGCGGGTAGAGAAGACTGCGGGAGTGGGTAGAGAGGGTGGAGTGAAGGGGTGTGAGGTGGCAGAGTGGGTAGAGAAGACTGCGGGAGTGGGTAGAGAGGGTGGAGTGATGGGGTGTGAGGTGGCAGAGCGGGTAGAGAAGACTGCGGGAGTGGGTAGAGAGGGTGGATTGAAGGGGTGTGAGGTGGCAGAGCGGGTAGAGAAGACTGCGGGAGTGGGTAGAGAGGGTGGAGTGAAGGGGTGTGAGGTGGCAGAGTGGGTAGAGAAGACTGTGGGAGTGGGTAGAGAGTGTGGAGTGAATGGGTGTGAGGTGGCAGAGTGGGTAGAGAAGACTGTGGGAGTGGGTAGAGAGGGTGGAGTGAATGGGTGTGAGGTGGCAGAGTGGGTAGAGAAGACTGCGGGAGTGGGTAGAGAGGGTGGAGTGAATGGGTGTGAGGTGGCAGAGTGGGTAGAGAAGACTGTGGGAGTGGGTAGAGAGGGTGGAGTGAATGGGTGTGAGGTGGCAGAGTGGGTAGAGAAGACTGTGGGAGTGGGTAGAGAGGGTGGAGTGAATGGGTGTGAGGTGGCAGAGTGGGTAGAGAAGACTGTGGGAGTGGGTAGAGAGGGTGGAGTGAAGGGGTGTGAGGTGCCAGAGTGGGTACAGGGAAGTCAGAAGGAGAGTTGTTAGGGAGTGGAAGGAGTTGATAGTGTAAGTTGTAAAGGGTTGGTAGAGGGTGTGTAGTGGTGGGGACGGCGGGAGGGAGTGGAGCGGCTAAAACGAATAACAAGGTGTGGGCTCCTTAGAGTTGGTATTGTGGATGGAGTGGATGTGCGGGAGCAGGTTATATTATTTGGATTGTGAAGAGCAGATAGAATAATAACATTGGTACTAAATGATATGACTTAACACTTCAGCAGAGAGCTTGTCATTAAAGGTATGCATTACACCCAAACTTTATAACTATTCTTTCACTGATATTTCCTCTCAAAAAGATGGAGCTGTCTAAAATATAGCCAATGTCCATTCTGATAAGGGGCAATTGATGGCCAGTGTTATCCAAACGCGGTGCCTAATACTATCTGGCGTCGACTTTGATATAAAAAGACATCTCTATTTTACTTTGATTCATTATCCATCACTCTCCATATCTATACTGTAATGATGCATAATGTCTCAATGTAAAATAGAGATGTCTTTTTGCATCAAAGTCGATCCATCATTCACCTTAAGAGGCGGTGGGGTAGCCTAGTGGTTAAAGCGTTCGTTCATCACGCCGAAGCCCCGGGTTCGATTCCCCACATGGGTACAATGTGTGAAGCCCATGTCTGGTGTCCAGTGCGTGATATTGCTGGAATATAGCTAAAAGCGGCGTGTAACTATACTCACTCACCCCTTTTTCTGTAATATGAACTGTGACCATATTAAAAGGAATGAAACTTTTTGTCGGCATTCGTTTGTACATCACACTCCAGCAACAACGACAAAACAGACGCATGGAAGTGACAGATGAAGATGTTTTTGACAACAGTGCATCTGTGTCAACTTAGTAAGATAAGTCTGTGTCAAGTGACTCATCTGTTACAAGCCAAACATGGCTTTTGAACACAATCGTCTGAGAAAATGTATATAGCAGTCATTCAGAAACCTTATGACATCTTTAATAAGCTTTGTACTTGCATAAACCATGTAAGACATAGAGTTTGTCATATATGTCAGTATTCATTTCTCAGTGAATTCTTTGTTTTTCAAGAATGACATTTTGTGGATCGCAAAATTCCATTTGCATTTCTTTACATATGGTATTTACTAAAATACGAAAATTCCATGTCATGTACTGTGTACGAGCAGCGTGTGTGTGTGTGTGTGTGTGTGTGTGTGTGTGTGTGTGTGTGTGTGTGTGTGTGTGTGTGTGTGTGAGAAAGGTGTGTGTGTGTGTGAGAAAGGTGTGTGTGTGTGTGTGAAAGGTGTGTGTGTGTGTGTGTGTGTGTAGGGGGGGGGGGGGGGGGGGGCAAATTAAAGCTGGCCCTTTTGGTGACACAACAGTCTGCTATACAACTGCTGCAATAACATAGTATCAGTTTGGGTTTGGGTCGATCCGTGGTGAGCATCTGCTGTGTTATGGTGCATAGCATTACGTACGAATGATCACTATATTATCATGAGCTCTGAAACCCCCAGTTCCCTTTCAAAGGTCAAGCTCAGGCTTATTATAACCAGATAACACATTGATATATTGAACTCAATGATAGACGGGGATTTTCGATATTTGATAATTGCGATTATAGTATTGTAATAAACGACTGACTGACTGACTGACTGACTGACTGACTGACTGACTGACTGACTGACTGACTGTCTTTAATTTCTTCCAGAATATATATATATATATAATGTCCCGCATATTCGCAGGCTCTCAACAGTGAGAAATATTGGTAAGATTACAACACGTTGTTTAGGATATGTTTAATTTCATACAAATACTTTGAGAAGTCAATAATAGTGAAATGCCACGTTATTTTATCAATGTCATTGTTATCTGCACCAAAAGATAATGCTAACATATCATGGTCTTCCATCATCTCTATTTTGACAAACATTTCAACATCAAGATAATCAGTTAGAGCGGAAAAGAATACATCTCTCCCTGAAAGTAGACATCAACAGTTTAAGATGACATGATGATAATAATCATTAGCAAAAGTATTACATTTTGCACATTCTTTAGATATTTTGCTTCTGGATCCACTCCTTATTACATACTGTATTTTTTCTCTCAATTCTGGATCTAACTTAACAATGATGTATAGCACATGAGGAGTAAGTGTTGTGTAAATTTTAGAATATCGAAACCGGTCAGCTCTACTTGATTAGTGATATTTCCATACTTCTTCCTCGTGGGTAGTTATTTGATTTAACACTTAATGAGTGAGTGACTGAGTTGGGTTTAACGCCGCTTTTAACAGTATTCCAGTTACAGTAAACCTCGGTTATAACGAACTCAAAGGGACTTCTAATTTTAGGTAAGTTCGTTATATCCGTCAGTTCGTTGTAAGCGAGTTCGTTATAACCGTAGTTGACTGTATATCGCGGCGTGTCAGCTTAATGTGGGAGGAAAGCCCGAAGTGATGCAGGTCTCAGACGTTTACCACTTCGGTGAAACCCACAAGCACGGGTATGGTGCTGACAAACCTAGAAACATAGTCGGGGCGAACCGGGATTCGAACCCACAATCATAGGTTTCTGGCATGCCCAAGGGACGCAACTCTTCACAGCGAATCGCGGCACCTTAGACGACTGGTCCACCCGTGCCCCCTGATTTAACACAATCTTTCTCCACTTACAGTGTTGTCTTCGCGGAGAATTCCACTTTGCAAACGTAGTGAAATACATGATGAAGCAGGTAAGATTTCGTGGCTGGTGAAAGCAACACTCCACATAAACTGTGAAATTATTGTTATGAAAATAATAGAGTGAAGTTGATGCGCAGAAAACAGTTTTACAAATTGAGACACATGAGTTATTGCAGAGACGCCCCGGCAGCTGAAGTCTACATGTATCCATATATAGCCAACCAAGCTCCAAAGTCCTAGATTAGCAATAGCGGCATCAGTGGGAGAACGTTTGTCAAAACCAATCCTGGCAATGTAACGCTGGGTACTTTCAGCTAATTCAAGATCTTTACCATGCAGAGGAGGTAGTAATTCACATCCATTAATACTTGTCAAAATAATTCTTTTCAATATCTTAATACTTGCATACTGTTGTAGGTCACTACTATTTAGACCAACAGAGAGGAGAAAATGAATAAAAAGATTACTTTGTAGAACAACATCGCATATTTTACATTATAAAACAAAGGTATGTTATAATCTCGAGAGTGACAAATAAGCATGCGTACACAATAATTGCTTCTTTTTATGAAACACAACAATTATACTTTTCGATGCATTATAAGTTAATCGCCATTTTGATGTGTAATTAACAACTGTATCTAGAAACATTAAACTGCAGCAGTTGCACTAATGCATACAAAGAACGCCATCAATTTAACAAATGAAAGTGTAAACTTGATAAAAGGTAAATGCAGTCATGTTTAAACCTAATTATTTTTAAAATAAATTTTCTATTTGCATAGACGATTTAGAACAGAGAGTTTGTCATATATTTTAGCATTCGATCATTTAGTGAAAATACGTCATAATCACAGTTTTCTTTCAAGAATGACAATTTGTGGCTCGCATTCCATTTGTTTTTCTTACATGTGGTATTCACTTTAAGAACGAACTTTCTTCCAACAGTCTCTGTTAATGTGAGCGGGTTTACGGGTTTACGGGTGGCAAAGCTCGCCCGTTTGATGACTCAACGGTCAGATTGACATAAAACTGCCACGATAACAAAGTGTATTCTGTGGTGGCCGAGAGGGGACATTGCTTTCTCGCTCTATCGTTTTCTCGCGTTATAGTAAAATTAAGGGGCTTACCCGATATAATATATGGATATAGGTGGGGTGGGGCATGCTGTGGTTTTCTTCATTTGCGTGCGTGCGTGCGTGCGTGCGTGCGTGCGTGCGTGTGCTGAGATGAGATTTTTCATAACAGAGAGCTGAGTTTTTTCCAGGCACATTTTCAAATAATACTTATGGAGGGAATGTTGACATTTTCTCACTACCTTCTTAAACAAAATTTAACTGCACAGACGTCGGAAACTGTAAAAAAAACAATCAACAGAAATTTTACGTAATAAATAATTAAGTGATTTGAGGCCCTAGTCAGGAGTTGTATCAGGCTATCACGCTGTCAGCGCGTTGCGGGTCATGAAATTAATCTAAATTCTAAATAAAAAATATTGAATAACACATTGCTGACAATAAACCACGATCTGGAAATAACTGATTGTATTGTAATTTGTATTGTTTGCATTGTCCAAAGAATGTCGGTCAACAGATTTAGAGTTAAGCCGAATACGAGCTCGTCCGAGTTATGAATGACAATGATATTCGGTATGATGGATGAAGTATATGCAGACAAAAGTTCTAAATGTACTCTGTTATGTTTCCCTTAAAAAGTTCAGATCGATCAGATATATGTCTTTACCTTAAGTCACATATACGACTTTTGGGAGCGTCATTAACCCGTAACCTCATTCCTTGGACAATAGAAATGGAATGCGTTGTACATATTGTTTAAAAACAACTCGTTTCTTATAATTTCTTTCAATCAAACTGTCTTCCCTTCAGGTAAGACGAGATATCCGATTATAGTATAAGCTCTTTGTTCAGGCATGAATATTCATAGTTTTGTAACAATTCTCTATCTATCACATTGTATGGTCGTTATCAGTTGTGCAATCTGGTGTGAGTTATGTAATTATCTACCGCATGTATACACAGACAGCGAGTCACACACACGCACGCACGCACACGCACGCACGCACGCACGCACACGCACACGCACACACACACACACACACACACTCACACACACACACCATGCCAGCTTGACAGGGAGACAGACAGGTAACACATCCAACCCACTCACATACATAATTTGACAAAACTATACTTAAAATATACACAAAATATATATAAGAATGACTGTTGATTTAACATATGTTATAGTCATAGTAATGCACTTCATATTGTTATCAACGTTAACTGAGTGGCCACACTAATTAGGATGTTTCTCCATATGTGTAGTACACAAGTACACATATCAACTGTGATAAAACCTTTGTCACAGCGATGAGAGGGGGGGGGGGGGGGGGGGGGGGGGTAAACTTCAGCTCGTCACCCCGAAGACCCAGGTTCAATTCCCCACATGGGTACAATGTGTGAGCCCATTTCTGGTCTTCCCCACCGTGATATTTCTGGAATACTGCTAAAAGCGGCATTAAACTGTACTCACTCACTCACAGCTGTGTTTATCAAATTACTATATACAAGTACATATAGGTTGTTCATGTAGATTTGCTCAAGACAAGAGACACAATACAAGTTGATCATAAATCAAATGTCAAAAAGAATATTTACGGAAAACAGTATTATGACATTCACACTGTAACATCATATACTACTCAAAACAAGTTAAAGAACACCCACAAGTATGAGATTGTGTTTTACAATACAATCAGCCTTGACTGATTAACCATAGTCGGATGACGAATCAGGTCTTCTTTAAATTCTCTTGAAAAGTGTGTATTTAGATTTAAACCTGATTTATTTTGAGCGTATTGCCATGACGCGCCGCGCGCTTTCGGTGTTATAGTCACATAAAACTCCTGAACAGAAACATTGATCAATCAATAATTGCACTTTACGAGAAAATCCGTGAATTGTTCTAAAATAAAATCACCTACATCTATACAGTTAATTCATGTTCAAGTAAATAGTGAGAAAAATTTAACATTCCCTCAAAACTGAAACAGACAACACGTGCGACCCCTAGTGGTAAAGATGGGATATTGCTTTACCGCGCGATGAAGCAATATGGCAGGAACGCGAGAACGCGGGAAATCGATGTCCCCTCTCGGCCTCCATAGTATTCAGGGGGCTTGGTCGTTCAGTGGTGATTATCTGTTGTGCAGGGCTTAGGAGCTCGAGAGCACACCCGATGAAGGCATTGCCTGAACGTGCATAACATAACGTGTGCATTCTTTCTTGACCAACTAGTGCCTTATCGCCGTATGGTAAGGTAAGTCGGTGGGATATAAGTTCAATATCATTTCACAACTACCTTCCGGCACGTATGTGTGGCTGCTTGTACATACCCGGAGCATACGGGCTTTGTAGCGCCAGCTCAATGAGGGGATTGCCTGAACGTCGGGCTGGGCCGAGACGGGTAACGTTATTGTTGGCTAAGTACTCCATTATACCCATATATTACTGATAGAACATACACACGTGACATTAATGAACAATCACAAATCTAAAACGTGAAGCATAATTAAGTCACTGCGAGTAAATCGCTTGAAAACCAGGAAGACGAGCTCAGTGAGCGGAGCAGTGTTACATGTAAAAGAGGAATCGTTAAACGAAATAGGATCTAAAACGTATCAAATACAATTCTCGTGAAAAAAGTAATTCTTCTGTCCAGCATAACGTTTACATCTATAGAATAGTACTATATCTAAGTAAATATCTCTTTATAATGTCAGGCTTCTAGTTGTAACAGACACGTATTGGAAGACGGAGTTTCATTAAAATGTATTTATTTGCCTGTAACAAGAAACGTCAACATCAGAAAGGTGTTGATTACTGTCGGCCATCCTACCAGACTAACTGTTGACAATTGACTGTCCTTATTATATGATATATATAATAATGATAGAAGTAAAATAGGCCAAATATATATGAGCACTGATTGGCTTTGCATGCTAACATTCTGACGTCACACCTGTGGCACGAAGTCAGTGATCAATAAACTAGTGTTTTGGGTGTAATATTGTATGACAATACACACATAGTATTATTCCTTTCACATGTACACTGTCTTACGTTCTATGCTAGTGAAGTAATTAAGTTAGTAATGGCGATTAGCACGATGTTTACATTAAAAGCGATCGTACATTAATTAGTTCATATAATCTGTGTCATATGGAGGGGTGCAGTCAGAAGAAGAAAAAAATGTTTTTACTAATTTTCCATTTTTTTAATGAATTTTTCCAAACCCTAACGTCCGTCCGAAAACTTTGTCCACGCGATTTCTCTTAAACTATTCAGTGGATTGATCTCAAACTTAGTACATATAATCTGTGTCATATGGAGGGGTGCAGTCAAAAGAAAAAGAATGTTCTATTAATTTTCCATTTTTTTCACGAATTTTTCAAACCCTAACCCTATCCTCGCTATTTAATTTGAAACTATTGACACACTAGGCGGGTCGGGGGTATTAGTGAGCCACGCCTCCTTTTCTTCTTGTTCAGTACTGTATTCGGTATTATTACTACACTAGCAATTATATACTAGCATATATATAGGGGGCATATATAAGGGGTGACCTTTATCTTTAACAAGAAATGACAACATCAGAAAGGTGTTGATTACTGTCGGCCATCCTACCAGACTGACAGGTGACATTTGACTGTACATTCAAATTGTAGTGACGTCACAGGTAGACACATGTGAATTAGGCGTTTAGCCAGGTACGGGTAGCACGCACAACTCCTTATATGTGGCAGTGGAGGCGCAGCGTTCAGATGGATTGAAGTAGAAACAGGCTGCAGGCGACAATAATGTCACTATTTGCCTAAGTTAAGGCTTACTCTTTGGTTAGAGTGAAGCTCTTTTCCCTATAGTTTCACAAGTGTTCGGTCCGACGCGGCTCCGGCTGTCAAAAGATCAACGTAGACCTCATAGGTGTATAATCATATGTGTTTACATATATAGACTAGCATTTTATCTGCCTAAATATCACTTAAAAGCGTCGCAGATTGTGGTATGTAAAGCCAAACCGTTGGTCAAAGTGAAGATATTTCCCTCTACATTCTCAACATAGTCTCTTTGGGACGTGTTTGGTCTGTGTTCGGACCGACTTGGCCCGGGTTGTCAAAATTAACTTACGCGTCACATATGTATCATCAAGTGTGTTTGCATTTACTCAGCCGTAAAGTAAGGTAAGGTGGTGGGGTAATTAAGTTCAATATTATTTCACTTATACAGCTACTTTAGGCCACGTGCGTGTTTTGCTGCTTGTATTAGGCGCCGGACTTATAACGGTCGGTTTTTGTAGTGCAAGCCCAATGAGTGAGTGAATGAGTTTGATTTTACGCCGCTTTTAGCAATATTCCAGCAATATCACGGCGGTGGACACCAGAAATGGGCTTCACACATTGTACCCATGTCGGGAATCGAACCCGGGTTTTCGGCGTGATGAGCAAACGCTTTAACCACTAGGCTACCCGACCGCCCCCAAAGTCCAATGAGATACGTATACCGTGCCGGAGGTTACCGTGGATACCCCACGGATATGGATACATTATACTCATTCTGAGTCGGCCAGTCCTTGTATTCCCCTTAATGCTTAGACCGCCTCCGTAGCCTCGTGGTAGAGCGTCCGCCAGGAGAGTGGAAGGTTCGGGGTTCGATCCCCAGCCGCGTTATACCAAAAGACGTTAACAAATGGTACTTGTTGTTACGATGCCTGGCGCTCGGCATTAAGGGCTGACACAAGGACTGGTCGACCCTGAGTCAGAAAACTGAGTCTCAGGCGGGTATTCAAGTTGAACTGCGGCATGGTATCTCAGTGGGCTAGCACTATGAAATCGGCATAAGTCAGGACTAGTACAAGCAGCTGCACACACACACACACACACACACACGCGCGCGCGCGCACGCGTGCATGCATGTCGTTATTCAAGTGCAATAATCTTGCCTGCGACGTAAAGCCACCGATTTTTTCCGTCCTCGGGACAAATGCTCTATTCACGACACCACGGAGACAGTCATGGATTTTTTAGGGAACAACTTTCTGTCCAGTTTGGAGTATACATGCATCAACACATGTACGTGTGCCTCCTGAGTCATCTGTGTCTGTCAATGTGAACTGCAGTCGAAAGCAATCTCGGTTGTGATATGTCTTCTCATAACTGATTATGTCCTCAATAGCACACGGCTGTCAATTACATGTCAAATGTCATATTCACTCAGTCTATGATGACAATTGTCACCGGGGTTATAACATACATCATATATGTGCATATGTCATGTTCCATTAAATCAGGGATACAAGAGTCTACAGCTTTGTAATACTGTTAACACATAATGTCAGGCTCGTTCACGCCAGTTTGACAATCGTTCACAGCTTTGTAGTACACGTAAAATGTCAGATTCGTTCACGTCAGGTTGACAATAGTCAACAGCTTTGTAATACTGTTAACGCATAATGTCAGGTTCGTTCACGCCAGTTTGACAATTGTCTCCAATACAGTGTAACTCTAAACCTTGTTACCCTTGTTACATTTGACCACTTTCTAAATGTATTCATAACTTTCGGCCAGGGGGGCCATGTCAGAGGGGTACTCAAAGTACGTGATCTAGACTACTGTTGTCGGACTATCATTTTTGTGGAAGCCTCGGTGGCTGAGTGGGTTAGATCGCAGACTTTGTGTGCTGGCGATTAGGTGCCTTACTCTGGCAAGTGTGGGTTCGAATCCCAGACGGGACTCAACCGCAAAAAAGTACTAGAATCTGTACTTTACTAAGAAAGTGTTATCCCCAAAATAACGTTTGTTACCCCCTCAATATACTTCAGTTTCTTATTTAAGTCGTTTGTAACCACATTCAGGCGATCCAGATTCTCTGGTTATTGGAGTGTAGTAACAGACGATCTGCAGTCACCATGGAGTTGATACGTGTAGCCGATGATGCTGGAGATGAGTTGACACTGGTAAACTACAATGGCCGCAAATACCCAAATCTTCCCGGATGTATGGAGACAAAAGTCCTGGAGAGATTACCATCTGCTGAGATCCGCTCTGATGACATTTTAGTGTGTAGTTTTCCTAAGTCAGGTATGTAGACTGTACTTATCAATGCAGTCATATAATTTTGACAACATCTTCATCAGGTCTCGAATGACAGATTGATTACAATTTCAAGATCTAGGCAGAATAGGTATTCAGCAACCCATGCTTGCCGTTAAAGGCGACTATGCTTGTCGTAAAAGGCGACTAACGGGATCCGGTGGTCAGGCTCGCTGACTTGGTTGATGCATGTCATCGATCCCAATTGCGTTATTCAATATATAGTGACAGGATACATGTATTACACAGTTCATTAGTGGTCGTTAAACACAAATGCGATCTCATCATTGTATACTATGCCTTTGATTAGCTTTTAGGCCACACAAAATGTCATGACTATCTCTTCCTTGAACAACAATTAATGGAAGTAGAAAAATATATAGATGTAAAGACAAGGAAAAAATTGAAAGTATTTTCCCCAAGCCATGAAGCCCCTCAATGGTGTTCTATTCAGGTACTCACTGGGTCTGGGAGATGGTTCGCCTGCTGGTGGCGGGCCAACTCGACCGTGCTGAATTCGGCAATGGATTTAACTTAATGGAAAATTGCAACGTGGGGGACTACTACAAAGACTTCCCTTCTCCCAGAATCCTGAACACTCACGTGGGGTTCAACGAACTTCCAGAGCAGGTTAAAGTGAAGAAACCTAAGATACTGTACGTGACTAGGAACCCCAAGGACGTGACTGTTTCTTATTACAACCATGTGAAGAAACTTGCCTACAACTACACTGGAGAGTGGAAGAATTTCGTCCGACCCTCACTGGAGGGGAAGTGTGAGTGATTTCCGTATCTTTCTTTGGTCACACAATTGTGCACACAGCTCTTGCATACATGTACACTACAACGCACAAGTTTGTTATCGAGTTCTGCAGTACAATTGCGAATAATTCGCGGATGAGTTGCAAATGATTCGCGAATTATCCGTGGAAAAGTTGCAAATAATTCGCGAATGATTTGAGAATAATTTGCAATGTCTGAGAAAACTATTGTGTTGCTTTATGGCACTAATTAGGAGTTTTATGGGGGTATCACGCCGACAACGCGTGGCGGGCCATGGCAATAGTCTCGATACATACAATGTATGCTGTGATGCTACACTGTGAATGGATTGCAGGTAAATGAAATGTTTGATAAATATATTCCTGCTTTAATAATGCTGTCATTTAATATCCTTAGTGACATGAATATTTGATTCATGATTAACTTGCATCGTGTTTCTTGTTTCTTGTACAATTCTACATGTATACAGTCATTTATCTACTAGCATATACTTATGTGGTTGTTTGATGAATACCACTTTGACACAGGTTGTATCACATTTGATGTATGTACATGTACACTCCGAGTTGGGATAAGCCTAGGAACTTCTTTGTGATTCAGTTATCATCACCTCCCTTATATGACATTGTATTTCCATTCAAGTTGGAAAAGGTGTACACTATCATTTGTAACCGACATAGGTGACAACAAACTTCAACAAGTATAATGAGGTTTGAGTTTTCTAATGTAGAGCTTTAGTTTGACACATATCGACCCAACCCTTACTTTTTTCCTGACCATGATTTTGTGACTTTTGTGTACCTTACTTCAGTTGACTATGGTTCCTGGTTTGACTACACGAAGGACTGAGGGGAGGTGAAAAAAAACACTGACGTCCCCATACTGACGATTAACTATGAAGACATGCAAGAGGTATTAGTTAGATTGTTGGTTATGATGTTCCTTGTAAGTGATGTGGGGTTGTTGCCATGTGGATAAGGCTCTTTAAATCAAGGTCTCCAGTTCGATGCTACAAATATATACATTATATAAAGCCCATTCATGTAGGTCCAAGCTGCCGACTCACTGACTCATTGCTGTGACGGCTGCAAAGTAAATTGGTGACCATGTGAGCTCAGTTTAGTTATTTGATTGTTACAGGATTATAAAAGTTAAATCTAAAATTAGCACGCACGTTATCTAGTGTTGATGTAAATCACTTCGAGTTTTCACCCTGGTGTGTTTTCAACTCAACGGGTGTTCATGTGTTTGGTTCGTGTGTTCAGGATATTGATGTGTTTATAAAGTCGGTTGTTTATGTTCATGCTTTCGGTCTGTGATTATGTAATGATTATGTTTTTTTATGTTCAAAGAATGTATTCCGGGAGATGAAAAAAATACAAGCCTTCCTTGGAATTAACAGAAGTGATGCGTTTGTGAGAGAAGTGTGTGATCACTGCAGCTTCGCCCACATGAAGAAAAGCAAGGCACCCTTCTCTGAGGTCATGTATAGAAAGGGTGAGCATTTACCTCCCAGTGTGCTGTCAGATGTAATAACTATTTACCTTCCTGTACACACTGTGCAATTGATTATCTAACAGCGGTGAGCATGGATCTCACGGTACTCTCTGTTGAATGGAATATCAAGAAAAAAATATTATTATTATTGTTGTCCAGTACGCTCTGTGGAATGTAATATCTAGAAACTTTTAGACAGGGTCGTTTCATCTCACAAATAGTCATTTACATTTTAGGCCGTGGTAGGGATTACATGACATCGTAGAAATACATCAGTACAATGTTCTAACATTGACTTTTGTTTTTGTCAGGTGAGGTTGGAGACTGGAAGAATTGGTTCACTGTCGCTGAAAATGAGTGGTTTGAGCAAATCTACAAGGAGAAGATGAAAGATTGTGCTTTGGAGTTCAGATATTCATTGAAATAATGGTGTTGTTGAGTAGGGAGAGTTGGTAAAAATGGCTGGGGTACTCTGAGTAGGCGAAGTGAATAGCGCGGTATGATAATAATGCCAAGAGCTAGATTAGTGATGGATTCACTGGAGTGAGTGGAGCGGCGAGAACGGATGCAATGGTGCATGGGTTTTGGTAGAGCGGATGGAGTGGGGGGTTGGATGGGAGCAAGTTGCGTTATTTGAGCTTATGCATATGCCAAACATGGCCCAAAGGACAAGAGAAACATGTCTTTCAAGTGTGGATTAAGTCAGTGCCTAAGGTTGTCATTTGTAGAAAGCACAAACTTAGAAGGAGAAAACGGAATATGAATAAACCCATTCTGTCCCAGCCAGTTGTCACACAAAGTCTGGCTGCCCTACATGAAATAGTTGTAGTTGATCCCACTGACAAGGCCTCAAATAACATAACCATTATCTGTAAGCATCACTACATAAATTGTTTGATCAAAGAACTCGGCAAAATTGACATATCAAACAATACCATATATAAGGCCAGTGTGCGATCTGAGGAAGACATCTGACCCAAACCAAAACCATCAGTACTATCAATTTTTGACTTGATTCCAAAACCTGAAGACTTGTCCATTCCTATTTTGTACGGGATTCCAAAGCTCCATAAATATCTGTACAAAAGAGACATGTTTTGCTAGGTCAAGCAAATGATCAACAAATCCCTGTCTCAAAGACTAACCATAATCCTTAATACAATCAATGAAGGACTTTCTGTAAGTGGAATTAATACCGTGTCGATGCTCAAAAACGCAAAGGATTTGCTTGCTTCGTAATCTCAAAAAGAACCACTTTCCTACATGGCAAACTCAAGGAAAAACTTGATTCCTTGATCCATGGGGCTTCTGTTACAAAACGTGGTGAACACAGATGCAGTGACGTATCTATATTCAGAGGTTCATGACATTTATCAAAAATGAAAGCAAATTTAAATTTAATTTAAGTTTCAGGTATATCTATAATTTCGATCGTTTGATATCGTTCAATAACAATCACATTGCCAATTCCCTTCCATTGATTTACCCTCCCGAACTGTAAATAAAAGAGACCAGTGGGTCCGCCTCATCTGTTACATATTTAGATCTACGCATAAAGATTCAGAGTGACAAAACACTCTCCACAAGACTATATGGCAAGAGGGATGGCTTCAACTTTCCAACAGTCAACTTGCCCTTCATGTCGAGCACTATTCCAGCAGCTCAAGCCTTTGGTGTTTACATTTCACAACTTTTCAGATACAATCGAGCATGCTCTTTTTACCAATATTTCAAAGAGCGTTTCAAGAATTTTGACTTTTCTCTCTCTATATATATATTGTATTTTGATAAGCAATATCAGTGTTATCCACAATCGGGCGTTGTTTTCTATATAGAATATATTATTTCATTGCCAATCATTGTCTATGTATGTACTTTAATATGAACTGTGACCATAATAAAATGAATGAAACATAAGGTCTGCATTTGTCTGTACATCATACGTCAGCAACAAAAACCCAAACAGCTATGCTGACAATTAGTATGACAGCCGCCTATGGTGTTTTGAGCTTGGAATCTTGGGGAATCGCCGAAGGTCTTGTGTAATGTTTTCAGATGAGTCTGTCTGGATAGGTGTAGACGTATGTGGAGGCGTCCCAACGAACGTCATGCGAACGTCAACGTAAGGCAACATTGGGTGTGGGAATGTTATGATATATGTCGGGATCATCATGACTACCGGAACACCACTGAGTATTGTCGGTCAAAAAGGGTAACTGGATTGTACTACCGCAACAAGACGGTCATCCTCGTGCCCACCGTGTACGTATCGTTACAGACTTCCTAGCAACCCATGCTTGCTGTAAAAGGTGACTATGCTTGTCGTAAAAGGCGACTAACGGTATCGGATGGTCAGGCTCGCTGACTTGGTTGATGCATGTCATCGATCCCAATTGCGTGGATCGATGTTCATGATGCCAATCACTGGATTGTCTCGTCCAGACTCGATTATTTACAGACCGCCGTCATTTAGTTGGATTATTGCTGAGTGCGGCGTTAAACAACAAACCAACCAACCAATGACCCATTCTTGTGAAGAGAATATTATTAAGACGTAGTTTCAAACAAAGAGGTAACTTCGAAACCCGTACGTCCGAAAGGACTGAATAATATAAATATGCAGATTTAATGCTTATAATTGTACTGTGCAAAAGAAGTAGGGGATGTTCTGAAATAACAGATGATTACAGCATAACAAAGAGGTGAGGTGAGGTGAAATGGGGTTTAACGTCGCGTCCAAGATTATTGCACCTGTCTAGCGACGTGCATGTACGTGTGTGTGTTTGTGTGGCTGCTTGTACTATTCCGGTCTGGTGGCGATTTATAGTGCTAGCTCACTGAGATACCATGCCGCAGTTTAACATGAATACCCCACTCAGACACAGTATACTGACTCCGAGCCGACCAGTCCTTGTTTTAGCCCCTTCATGCCGAACTCCAGACAGGGTAACAACAAGTACCATCTTTTAACGTCTTTTGGTATGACGCGGTCGGGGACATTATAAAGAGGTATCGAGTGATGGATTGATAAGAAAGACAAGGTGTAACATGACAATCAACAGTGAGCAGTGTGTTGTCAGGGTAAAAACAACCAAGAAAGACGACGAAGGTGCTTTGTCCAAAAAATAACGTTTGAGGTGACTCGATCAATAATGGGTCATGTCCTCACGACTGGTTCAACATTTGTTTAAACAAGGTGACAAGATCCGAAACAATCTCCCCGTGATGTTTTTATGAAGTCATGCTGGTGATGTTGTGCTACTGGAGGAAGTCAGTTGGTTGGTTGGTTGGTTTTTCAACGACCCACTCAGCAATATTCCAGCCATATGACGGCGGTCTGTAAGTAAGCGAGTCTGAACCAGACAATCCAGTGATTGGCATCTGAGCATCGATCCACGAAATTGGGATTCGATGACTTGCATCAACCAAGTAAGCGAGCCTGACCACCCGATCCCGTTAGTTGCCTGAAACGACATGCATAGTCGCCTTTTACAGC